GGCTGAGGAGACGCCGAAGCAGACTGACGGTGAGATCGCTGGGGACGTTCCGTCGAGTACCGGTGAAGATGTGGATGCCACTGAGGAGGCGCCGGTGTCGGCGGGGTCAGTGTCGGCGCTGGTGTCGGCGCTCGAGGAGAGTTCGGTGGCGCCATCGGCGAAAGAGGCGGCCGCTCCAGTCTTGGATGAGGTACTGCCGTCATCCACCGACGACGGTTCTCCTACAGCTCCTGCAGAGACGACGTCCGTTGTAGACGATGCATCCGTGGTCGTTGACGTTGCGGCCGTAGAGCCTGCCGTGTCCGTGGAGGACCCTGCGGCTGTGGCGTCGAGCGGTCCCATAGCATGTGTGACCGTCGCGGACGAGGTACCCGAACCGGCGGTGACGGACGTGGTCCCGTCGAGTGTGGAAGCCGACGACGTGCCATCTTCGGCGTTGGTTGTGGAGGTCACTGCTACCGTCGCCGAGGAGCCGGTGCTATCTGGCACGGGTGATGTGATGCCAGAGGCTGTGGGTGACCTGGCGATGACGGTGTTGGAAGTCGAGCCGGTGTCAAAGGTGGACGAGGTAACAGCCACGACGTCTGGTACTGATGGTGGCGATGCAGACCCATCTGTGCCAGCGCTTGTTGACGATTTGTCTTCAGCGGGAGCGCAGGAATCCGAGGCGGCGGAGTTGGATGGTGGTACGGGCGAAGCGCCGATCGAGGCGAGTGTGTGAAGTGGTTATAGTAGCGGATTGACCAAGCGATACTTGGAGGTTCTGCACTAATCAATGTGGAAATGTGGGCGAGCGTGGCCATTGGCAATCAATATTTTTGCGGTTGTGTTGACATGGTGAACCCGTTCGACATCGGCCTTCGGCGGACAGTGTTTCGTTGGTGTCCTTCTCAACACTGCTGTCGTTTGCACTCCCCGTTGCATCGTCGTGGCTATTGCTTGCTAGTGCTAGGGTATCCACGAGCGCTTGACATTCTCGTTCTTCCGCTGTCGCTCTGCTGGATCCTGCATGTACGTGCGCGTTCTGCAGGTCGTGGTATCGGCGCTCGAGGAGAGTTTAGCGGCACCACCGGAGGGAGCGGCGGCCGCCCCAGTGGTGGATGCGGTACTACCGTCATCCACCGGCGACTGTTCTCCCACAGCTCCTGTGGAGTCGACGTCCGTTGTAGACGATGCATCGGTGGTCGTTGAAGCGGCCGCTGTGGACCCTGCGGCTGCGGCGTCGAGCGTGCCAGAACCATCTCCGGCCGCCGTGGACGAGGTACCCGAACCGGCGGAGGTGGAGGTGGTCCCGTCGTGTTCCGGCGAGGTCACGGAGGAGCGAGACGGCGCTGCAGCCGACGACGTGCCATCTTCGGCGTTGGCTGCGGAGGCCTCTGCTGCCGAGGTCGCCGAGCCGGTCCTGTCTGGCACGGGTGATGTTGTGCCGGAGGGTGTGGTCGACGTGGCAGCTCCGTTGTTGGAAGTCGAGCCGGTGTCAGAGGTGGGCGAGGTAGCGGTGACGACACCTGGTACTGATGCTGAGGAGGCAGACCCTTCTATGCCAGCACTGGTGGACGATTTGTCCCCGGTTGAGCCGGAGGAAGCAGATACGGTGGAATTGGATGGTGGTGCTGTCGAGGCGCCGATCGAGGTGAGTGTGTGGAGTATTACTGTTGTTCTTAACCCACCAATTGTTGAGTATTGTTGATCGAGGTGCAAACGAATGCAGGTGTTGCAAGGTGAAGAAGGCATCGGGCCGTTCCTGTGGAAGTTATGCAGACCTTCGATATTGGCGAATGACGACGTAGGTTTTGTGGGTTGCCCCTTTAACCCCCTTGGTTATACTAGCGGTTGTATCTCGCGACTCTCCAGAACAATGTTCCATCAGGCCTTGACGTCCTCTTTTTCCCGTTGTCGCTCTGCTGGCCCTTTTCGTACAATTTCTGTAGGGACTCGAGGTCTCACCCTCCAATCAACTAAGTTCGGGTTCGGCCGGAGACGCCCCGATCGATGCCGTCCTGGTGACTGCCGCGGCTGAGGAGACACCAAAGAAGGCAGACGGCGAGACCGCCGGGGACGTTCCGTCGAGCATGACCGGAGATGTAGATGTCGCTGAGAAGGCGCCGGTGTCGGCGGGGTTGGTGTCCGCCCTGGTATCGACGCTCGAGGGGATTATCGCGGCGCCATCGGAGGAAGAGGCGGCCGCTCCAGTCATGGACGAGGTACTACCCTCGGCCACCGACGACGCTGCTACTACAGCTCCTGCGGAGGCGACGTCCGTTGTAGGCGATGCATCCGTGGGCATCGAATCAGCTCCTGCTGACCCTGTTGTTTCCGTGAAGGACCCTGCGGACACGGTGTCGAGCGCGCTAGAACCAAGCCCGGTCGTGGTAGACGAGGTACCCCAACCTGCGGAGACGGGCACGGTCCCGTCGAGTACCGGCGGGGTCCCGGAGGAGCCAGAGGGTGCGGAAGCCGACGCCATGCCATGTTCGGCGTTGGTTGTGGAGGCGATTGCTGTGCCTGTCGCCGAGCCGGTTCTGTCTGGCCCGGGTGACGTGGTGCCGGAGACTGTGGTGGACGTGGCGGCTCCGGTGTCGGAAATCGAGCCGTTGTCAGAGGTGGGCGAGGTAGCGGCGACGACGTCTGGTACTGATGCTGAGGAGGCAGACCCGTCTATTCCACCGCTGGTGGACGGTTTGTCTCCAGCGGGAGCGGAGGAATCAGAGGCGGCGGAGTTGGATGGTGGTGCGGTCGAAGAGCCGATCGAGGCGAGTGTGTGAAGTGTTTCCGGTCGAGGTTATACTTAATTGGCGAGATTTGGACGTTTAGTGTCAATGTTGACACCTGAGCGGATGGTACGATGTGCACTCAGGATTAGGCCGGTACGAAGAATGCAGACGTTCGACATCAGGCTATGACGACGAAAGTAGTTCGTTGGTTACTCTCCTCAACGTCGTCGTTCACGCTATAGCTGTCGTATCGCGTGGCTCTCGCTCGCTAGTGCTGTTGTATACATCGGTGCTTGACATGCTCGTTCTCCCGCCTGTTGCGCTGTGGGACCCTGCGTGTATGTTTTGTTCAGGACATCGGTGGCACAACCTCCGAGCAACCCGCATCGGTGGCAGCGGACGACGCCCCGATCGATGTTGACCCGGAGACTGGTGTGGTGGAGCCGTCTGTGTCCGTGACGGCTGAGGAGACGCCGAAGCAGACTGACGGTGAGATCGCTGGGGACGTTCCGTCGAGTACCGGTGAAGATGTGGATGCCACTGAGGAGGCGCCGGTGTCGGCGGGGTCAGTGTCGGCGCTGGTGTCGGCGCTCGAGGAGAGTTCGGTGGCGCCATCGGCGAAAGAGGCGGCCGCTCCAGTCTTGGATGAGGTACTGCCGTCATCCCCCGACCACGGTTCTCCTACAGCTCCTGCAGAGACGACGTCCGTTGTAGACGATGCATCCGTGGTCGTTGACGTTGCGGCCGTAGAGCCTGCCGTGTCCGTGGAGGACCCTGCGGCTGTGGCGTCGAGCGGTCCCGAACCATGTCCGACCGTCGTAGACGAGGTACCCGAACCGGCGGTGACGGACGTGGTCCCGTCGAGTGTGGAAGCCGACGACGTGCCATCTTCGGCGTTGGTTGTGGAGGCTACTGCTACCGTCGTCGAGGAGTCGGTGCTATCTGGCACGGGTGATGTAGTGACGGAGACTGTAATCGACGTGCCGCCTCCGGTGTTGGAATTCACGCCGATCGTAGAGGCGGGCACGGTAGCGGCGACCACCTCTGATGCTTTCGTTGAGGAGGAAGACCCGTCTATTACAGCGCTAGTGGACGGTTCGTCTGCAGCGGGAGCGCATGAATCCGAGGCAGCGGAGTTGGATGGTGGTACGGGCGAAGCGCCGATCGAGGCGAGTGTGTGAAGTGGATATAGTAGCGGATTGACCAAGCGATGTTTGGAGGATCTGCGCCTAATCAATCCGACACTGTGGGCGAGCGTGGCCATTGGCATTCAATATTTTGGCGGTTCTGTTGACATTAACTCGTTCGACATCGGCTTCGACGAAAAGTGTTTCGTTGGTGTCCTTCTCAACACTGCTGTCGTTTGCACTCTCCGTTGTATCGTTGTGGCTATTGCTTGCGAGTGCTAGGATATCCACTAGCGCTTGACATTCTCGTTCTTCCGCTGTCGCTCTGTTGGAACCTGCATGTACGTGCGCGTTCTGCAGGTCGTGGGTGGCGCAACCTCCGACCAACTCACTTCGGTGGCAGCGGAAGACGCCCCGATCGATGATGTCCCGGTGACTGCCGTGGCGGAGCCGTCTGCGCCCATGACGGCTGAGGAGACACTGAAGCAGGCAGACGGCGAGATCGCCGGGGACGTTCCGTCGAGCACGACTGGAGATGTGGATGTCGCTGAGAAGGCGCCGGTGTCGGCCGGGTTGGTGTCCGCGCTGGTATCGGCGCTCGAGGAGAGTTCACCGGCGCCACCGGAGGAAGCGGCGGCCGCCCCAGTCGTGGATGAGGTGCTACCGTCATCCACGGACGACTGTTCTCCCACAGCTCCTGTGGAGGCGACGTCCGTTGTAGACGATGCATCGGTGGTCGTTGAAGCGGCCGCTGTGGACCCTGCGGCTGCGGCGTCGAGCGTGCCAGAACCAACTCCGGCCGTCGTGGACGAGGTACCCGAACCGGCGGAGGTGGAGGTGGTCTCGTCGAGTTCGGGCGAGGTCACGGAGGAGCGAGACGGCGTGACAGCCGACGGCGTGCCATCTCCGGCGCTGGCCACGGACGCCACTGCGGCCGCCGTCACCGAGCCGGTCCTGTCTGGCACGGGTGATGTTGTGCCCGAGGTTGTGGTGGTCGTGGCAGCTCCGTTGTTGGAAATCGAGTCGGTGTCAGAGGTGGGCGAGGTAGCGGCGAAGACGAAATCGGTTGCTGGTGGTGACGACGCAGATCCTTCTATGCCATCGCTGGTGGACGATTTGTCTCCGGTCGGGCCGGAGGAAGCAGAGGCGGCGGAGTTGGATGGTGGTGCTGTCGAGGCGCCGATCGAGGTGAGTGTGTGAAGTGGTTGCAGTAGCGTTTAGGCTGTTTAGGTGATCTTTGAAGGTACTGCGCCAATGTGGAAATGTGCTCGAGAGTTGCGATTTGCAGTAACGATTGAGCCGTTTTCGTTGATATAATGAAGCCGCTCGATACCAGCCTTCGACGAAACGTGCTTGGTTGGTGTCCTTCTCAACACTACTGTCGTTTCCACTCTCCGTTGTATCCTTGTGGCTCGTGCTCGCTAGTGCTATGGTTTCCATCATCGCTTGACATAGTTTCCCTCTCGCTGTCGCTTTGCCGATTCCTGCACGTGCGTGCTCATTGTCCAGGTCGTCGGGAGCGCACCCTCCGACCAACTCACTCCGGTGGCAGCGGAAGACGCCCCGATCGATGATATCCCGGTGACTTCTGTGGGGGAGCCGTCTGTGCCCGTGACGGCTGAGGAGACACCGAAGCAAGCAGACGCCGAGACCGCCGGGGGCGTTCCGTCGAGCACGGCTGGAGTTGTAGATGTCGCTGAGAAGGCGCCGGTGTCGTCGGGGTTGGTGTCCGCGCTGGTATCGGCGCTCGAGGAGAGTTCAACGGCGCCACCGGAGGGAGCCGCGGCCGCCCCAGTCGTGGACGAGGTACTACCGTCATCCACCGACGACTGTTCTCCCACAGCTCCTGTGGAGGCGACGTCCGTTGTAGACAATGCATCGGTGGTCGTTGAAGCGGCCGCTGTGGACCCTGCGGCTGCGGCGTCGAGCGTGCCAGAACCAACTCCGGCCGTCGTGGACGAGGTACCCGAACCGGCGGAGGTGGAGGTGGTCTCGTCGAGATCCGGCGAGGTCACGGAGGAGCGAGACGGCGCGACAGCCGACGGAGTCCTATCTCCGGCGTTGGCCACGGAGGCCACTGCGGCCGCCGTCGCCGAGCCCGTCCTGTCAGGCACTGGTGATGTTGTGCCGGAGGGTGTGGTCGACGTGGCAGGTCCGTTGTCGGAAGTCGAGCCGGTGTCAGAGGTGGGCGAGGTAGCGGTGACGACACCTGGTACCGGTGGTGACGACGCAGACCCTTCTATGCCAGCGCTGGTGGACGATTTGTCCCCGGCTGAGCCGGAGGAAGCAGAGGCTGTGGAGTTGGATGGTGGTGCTGTCGAGGCGCCGATCGAGGTGAGTGTGTGTAGTATTAATTGTTGTTTTTAGCCCCGGCAGTTGTTGGATTTTGTTGATCGAGGTGGAAACGAATTCTGGTGTTGCGAGGCGGAGTCAGGGTCGGGCCGTTACTGTGGCAGCGATGAAGACGTTCGGCATTGGCCAATGACGACGACGTAGCTTTGTGGGTTGCCCTTTCAACCCTCTCGTTCATACTACTGGTTGGTGTCCGTGGCTCTCTATTGCTATGGTATGTCGCGGCGTGACGTCCTCTTTTTCCGGCTGTCGCTCTGTTGAACCCTGTACGTACAATTTCTGCAGGATCTCGAGGCCTCACCCTCCGATCAACCAAGTTCGGGTTCGGCCGGAGACGCCCCCATCGATGATGTCCCGATGACTGCCGTGGCGGAGCCGTCTGTGTCCGCGACGACTGAGGAGACACGGAAGCAGGCAGACGGCGAGACCGCCGGGGAAGTTCTGTCGAGCACGGCTGGAGATGTGGATGTCGCTGAGAAGGCGCCGGTGTCGTCGGGGTTGGTGTCCGCGCTGGTATCGGCGCTCGAGGAGAGTTCCGCGGTGCCACCGGAGGAAGAGGCGGCCGCCCCATCCGTGGACGAGGTACTACCGTCATCCACCGACGACTGTTCTCCCACAGCTCCTGTAGAGGCGACGTCCGTTGTAGACGATGCATCGGTGGTCGTTGAAGCGGCCGCTGTGGACCCTGCGGCTGCGGCGTCGAGCGTGCCAGAACCATCTCCGGCCGTCGTGGACGAGGTAGCCGAACCGGCGGAGGTGGAGGTGGCCGCCATCGATGCCGTACCGGTGTCCGCGATGGCTGAGGAGACACCGAAGCAGGCAGACGGTGAGACCGCCGGGGACGTTCCTTCGAGCACGGCTGGAGTTATGGACGTCGCTGAGAAGGTACCGATGGCGGCGGCGTCTCAGTCCGCGCTGTTATCGGCGCTCGAGGAGAGGTTACCGGCGCCACCGGAGGAAGAGGCGGCCGCCCCAGTGGTGGATGAGCTGCTACCGTCATCCACCGACGACTGTTCTCCCACAGCTCCTGTAGAGGCGACATCCGTTGTCGACGATGCATCGGTGGTCGTTGAAGCGGCCGCTGTGGACCCTGCGGCTGTGGCGTCGAGCGTGCCAGAACCAACTCCGGCCGTTGTGGACGAGGTACCCAAACCGGCAGAGGTGGAGGTGGTCCCGTCGTGTTCCGGCGAGGTCACGGAGGAGCGAGACGGCGTGACAGCCGACGGCGTGCCATCTCCGGCGTCGGCCACGGAGGCCACTGCGGCCGCCGTCACCGAGCCCGTCCTGTCAGGCACGGGTGTTGTTGTGACGGAGGCTGTGGTCGATGTGACGGCTCCGGTGTCGAAAGTCGAGCCGGTGTCAGAGGTGGGCGAGGTAGCGGCGAAGACGTCTGGTACTGGTGGTGACGACGCGGACCCTTCTATGCCATCGCTGGTGGACGAGGTTTCCCCGGTCGGGCCGGAGGAAGCAGAGGCGGCGGAGTTGGATGGTGGTGCTGTCGAGGCGCCGATCGAGGCGAGTATGTGAAGCGGTTGTAGTAGCGGTTAGGCTGTTTAGGTGATCTTTGGAGGTACTGCGCCAATGTGGAAAAGTGGGCGAGTGTGGCGACTTACGGTCAAGTTTGGGCCGTTTTCGTTGATATGATGAAGCCGCTCGATATCAGCCTTCGACGAAACGTATTTGGGTGGTGTCCTTCTCAACACTGCTGTCGTTTGCACTCCCCGTTGTATCCTTGTGGCTCGTGCTCGCTAGTGCTATGGTTTCCATAAGCGCTTGACATGGTTTCCCTCTCGCTGTCGCTCTGCCGATTCCTGCACGTGCGTGCTCAATTGTCCAGGTCGTCGGGGGCACACTCTCCGACCAACTCACTCCGGTGGCAGCGGACGACGCCCCGATCGATGATATCCCGGTGACTGCCGTGGCGGAGCCGTCTGTGCCCGTGACGGCTGAGGAGACACCGAAGCAGGCAGACGGCGAGATCGCCGGGGACGTTCCGTCGAGCATGGCTGGAGATGTGGATGTCGCTGAGAAGGCGCCGGTGTCGTCGGGGTTGGTGTCCGCGCTGGTATCGGCGCTCGAGGAGAGTTCACCGGCGCCACCGGAGGAAGAGGCGGCCGTCCCAGTCGTGGATGAGGTACTACCGTCATCCACGGACGACTGTTCTCCCACAGCTCCTGTGGAGGCGACGTCCGTTGTAGACGATGCATCGGTGGTCGTTGAAGCGGCTGCTGTGGACCCTGCGGCTGTGACGTCGAGCGTGCCAGAACCAACTCCGGCCGTCGTGGACGAGGTACTTGAACCGGCGAAGGTGGAGGTGGTCCCGTCGAGTTCGGGCGAGGTCATGGAGGAGCGAGACGGCGTGGCAGCCGACGGCGTGCCATCTCCGGCGTCGGCCACGGAGGCCACTGCGGCCGCCGTCGCCGAGCCGGTCCTGTCAGGCACTGGTGATGTTGTGCCGGAGGGTGTGGACGATGTGACGGCTCCGTTGTTGGAAGTCGAGCCGGTGTCAGAGGTGGGCGAGGTAGCGGCGACGACACCTGTTGTTAGTGGTGACGACGCAGATCCTTCTATGCCATCGCTGGTGGACGATTTGTCTCCGGTCGGGCCGGAGGAAGCAGAGGCGGTGGAGTTGGATGGTGGTGCTGTCGAGGCGCCGATCGAGGTGAGTGTGTGAAGTGGTTGCAGTAGCGATTACACTGTTGATGTGACCTTTGGAGGTACTGCGCCAATGTGGAAATGTGGTCGAGAGTTGCGATTTGCAGTAACGATTGAGCCGTTTTCGTTGATAGAATGAAGCCGCTCGATATCAGCCTTCGACGAAAAGTGTTTGGTTGGTGTCCTTCTCAACACTACTGTCGTTTCCACTCCCCGCTGTATCCTTGTTGCTCGTGGTCGCTAGTGCTAGGGTATCCTCAAGCGCTTGACATGGTTTCCCCCTCGCTGTCGCTCTGCCGATTCCTGCACGTGCGTGCTCATTGTCCAGGTCGTCGGGGGCGCACCCTCCGACCAACCCACTCCGGTGGCAGCGGACGACGCCCCGATCGATGATATCCCGGTGACTGCCGTGGCGGAGCCGTCTGTGCCCGTGACGGCTGAGGAGACACCGAAGCAGGCAGACGGCGAGACCGCCGGGGACGTTCCATCGGGCACGGCTGGAGATGTGGACGTCGCTGAGAAGGCGCCGGTGTCGTCGGGGTTGGTGTCCGCGCTGGTATCGGCGCTCGAGGAGAGTTCAACGGCGCCACCGGAGGAAGAGGCGGCCGCCCCAGTCGTGGACGAGATACTACCGTCATCCACCGGCGACTGTTCTCCCACAGCTCCTGTGGAGGCGACGTCCGTTGTAGACGATGCATCGGTGGTCGTTGAAGCGGCCGCTGTGGACCCTGCGGCTGCGGCGTCGAGCGTGCCAGAACCAACTCCGGCCGCCGTGGACGAGGTACCCGAACCGGCCGAGGTGTACGTGGTCTCGTCGAGTTCGGGCGAGGTCACGGAGGAGCGAGACGGCGTGGCAGCCGACGGCGTGCCATCTCCGGCGTTGGCCACGGAGGCCACTGCGGCCGCCGTCACCGAGCCCGTCCTATCAGGCACTGGTGTTGTTGTGCCGGAGGTTGTGGTCGATGTGGCGGCTCCGTTGTTGGAAGTCGAGCCGGTGTCAGAGGTGGGCGAGGTAGCGGCGAAGACGTCTGGTACTGGTGGTGACGACGCAGACTCTTGTATGTCATCGCTGGTGGATGATTTGTCTCCGGTGGGGCCGGAGGAAGCAGAGGCGGCGGAGTTGGATGGTGGTGCTGTCGAGGCGCCGATCGAGGTGAGTGTATGAAGTGGTTGCAGTAGCGTTTAGGCTGTTTAGGTGATCTTTGGAGGTACTGCGCCAATGTGGAAATGTGCTCGAGAGTTGCGATTTGCAGTAACGATTGAGCCGTTTTCGTTGATAGAATGAAGCCGCTCGATATCAGCCTTCGACGAAACGTGTTTGGGTGGTGTCCTTCTCAACACTACTGTCGTTTCCACTCTCCGTTGTATCCTTGTGGCTCGTGCTCACTAGTGCTAGGGTATCCTCAAGCGCTTGACATGGTTTCCCCCTCGCTGTCGCTCTGCCGATTCCTGCACGTGCGTGCTCATTGTCCAGGTCGTCGGGGGCGCACCCTCCGACCAACCCACTCCGGTGGCAGCGGAAGACGCCCCGATCGATGATATCCCGGTGACTGCCGTGGCGGAGCCGTCTGTGCCCGTGACGGCTGAGGAGACACCGAAGCAGGCTGACGCCGAGACCGCCGGGGACGTTCCGTCGAGCACGGCTGGAGATGTGGATGTCGCTGAGAAGGCGCCGGTGTCGTCGGGGTTGGTGTCCGCGCTGGTATCGGCGCTCGAGGAGAGTTCAACGGCGCCACCGGAGGAAGAGGCGGCCGCCCCAGTCGTGGACGAGGTACTACCGTCATCCACCGGCGACTGTTCTCCCACAGCTCGTGTGGAGGCGACGTCCGTTGTAGACGATGCATCGGTGGTCGTTGAAGCGGCCGCTGTGGACCCTGTGGCTGCGGCGTCGAGCGTGCCAGAACCAACTCCGGCCGTCGTGGACGAGGTACCCGAACCAGCAGAGGTGGACGTGGTCTCGTCGAGATCCGGCGAGGTCACGGAGGAGCGAGACGGCGTGGCAGCCGACGACGTGCCATCTCCGGCGTTGGCCACGGAGACCACTGCGGCCGCCGTCACCGAGCCGGTCCTGTCAGGCACTGGTGATGTTGTGCCGGAGGTTGTGGTCGACGTGGCAGGTCCGTTGTTGGAAGTCGAGGCGGTGTCAGAGGTGGGCGAGGTAGCGGCGAAGACGTCTGGTACTGGTGGTGACGACGCAGACCCTTCTATGTCATCGCTGGTGGATGATTTGTCTCCGGTGGGGCCGGAGGAAGCAGAGGCGGTGGAGTTGGATGGTGGTGCTGTCGAGGCGCCGATCGAGGTGAGTGTGTGGAGTATTATTGTTGTTTTTAGCCCCGGCAGTTGTTGGGTATTGTTGATCGAGGTGGAAACGAATTCTGGTGTTGCGAGGCGTTGTCAGCGTCGGGCCGTTACTGTGGCAGCGATGAAGACGTTCGACATTGGCCAATGACGACGACGTAGCTTTGTGGGTCGACCAGTCAACCCCCTCGTTTATCTTACCGGTTGGTGTCCGTGGCTCTCTATTGCTATGGTACGCCGCGGCGTGACGTCCTCTTTTTCCCGCTGTCGCTCTGTTGAACCCTGTACGTACAATTTCTGCAGGATCTCGAGGCGTCACCCTCCGATCAACCAAGTTCGGGTTCGGCGGGAGCCGCCCCCATCGATGATGTCCCGGTGACTGCCGTGGCGGAGCCGTCTGTGTCCGCGACGACTGAGGAGACACGGAAGCAGGCAGACGGCGAGACCGCCGGGAAAGTTCTGTCGAGCACGGCTGGAGATGTGGATGTCGCTGAGAAGGCGCCGGTGTCGGCGGGGTTGGTGTCCGCGCTGGTATCGGCGCTCGAGGAGAGTTCGGCGGTGCCACCGGAGGAAGAGGCGGCCGCCCCATCCGTGGACAAGGTACTACCGTCAACCACCGACGACTGTTGTCCCACAGCTCCTGTGGAGGCGACGTCCGTTGTAGACGGTGCATCGGTGGTCGTTGAAGCGGCCGCTGTGGACCCTGCGGCTGCGGCGTCGAGCGTGCCAGAACCAACTTCGGCCGTCGTGGACGAGGTAGCCGAACCGGCGGAGGTGGAGGTAGCCCCGATCGATGCCGTACCGGTGTCCGCGATGGCTGAGGAGACACCGAAGCAGGCAGACGAGACCGTCGAGGACGTTCCTTCGAGCACGGCTGGAGTTATGGACGTCGCTGAGAAGGTACCGATGGCGGCGGCGTCTCAGTCCGCGCTGGTATCGGCGCTCGAGGAGAGTTCAACGACGCCACCGGAGGAAGAGGCGGCCGCCCCAGTGGTGGATGAGCTGCTACCGTCATCCACCGACGACTGTTCTCCCACAGCTCCTGTTCCCACAGCTCCTGTAGAGGCGACGTCCGTTGTCGACGATGCATCCGTGGTCGTTGAAGCGGCCGCTGTGGACCCTGCGGCTGCGGCGTCGAGCGTGCCAGAACCAACTCCGGCCGTCGTGGACGAGGTAGCCGAACAGGCAGAGGTCGACGTGGTCCCGCCGAGTTCCGGAGAGGTCACGGAGGAGCGAGACGGCGTGGCAGCCGACGGCGTGCCATCTCCGGCTTTGGCCACGGAGGCCACTGCGGCCGCCGTCACCGAGCCCGTCCTGTCAGGCACGGGTGATGTTGTGCCGGAGGTTGCGGTCGATGTGGCGGCTCCGTTGTTGGAAGTCGAGCCGGTGTCAGAGGTGGGCGAGGTAGCGGCGAAGACGTCTGGTACTGGTGGTGACGACGGAGTCCCTTGTTTGCCATCGCTGGTGGACGATTTGTCTCCGGTCGGGCCGGAGGAAGCAGAGGCGGCGGAGTTGGATGGTGGTGCTGTCGAGGCGCCGATCGAGGTGAGTGTGTGAAGTGGTTGCAGTAGCGTTTAGGCTGTTTAGGTGATCTTTGGAGGTACTGCGCCAATGTGGAAATGTGCTCGAGAGTTGCGATCTGCAGTAACGATTGGGCCGTTTTCGTTGATAGAATGAAGCCGCTCGATATCAGCCTTCGACGAAACGTATTTGGGTGGTGTCCTTCTCAACACTGCTGTCGTTTCCACTCTCCGTTGTATCCTTGTGGCTCGTGCTCACTAGTGCTAGGGTATCCATCAGCACTTGACATGGTTTCCCCCTCGCTGTCGCTCTGCCGATTCCTGCACGTGCGTGCTCATTGTCCAGGTCGTCGGGGGCGCACCCTCCGACCAACCCACTCCGGTGGCAGCGGAAGACGCCCCGATCGATGATATCCCGGTGACTTCCGTGGCGGAGCCGTCTGTGCCCATGACGGCTGAGGAGACACCGAAGCAGGCTGACGCCGAGACCGCCGGGGACGTTCCATCGAGCACGGCTGGAGATGTGGATGTCGCTGAGAAGGCGCCGGTGTCGTCGGGGTTGGTGTCCGCGCTGGTATCGGCGCTCGAGGAGAGTTCAACGGCGCCACCGGAGGAAGCCGCGGCCGCCCCAGTCGTGGACGAGGTACTACCGTCATCCACCGACGACTGTTCTCCCACAGCTCGTGTGGAGGCGACGTCCGGTGTCGACAATGCATCGGTGGTCGTTGAAGCGGCCGCTGTGGACCCTGCGGCTGCGGCGTCGAGCGTGCCAGAACCAACTCCGGCCGTCGTGGACGAGGTACCCGAACCAGCGGAGGTGGACGTGGTCTCGTCGAGATCCGGCGAGGTCACGGAGGAGCGAGACGGCGTGGCAGCCGACGGCGTGCCATCTCCGGCTTTGGCCACGGAGGCCACTGCGGCCGCCGTCACCGAGCCCGTCCTGTCAGGCACTGGTGATGTTGTGCCGGAGGGTGTGGTCGATGTGGCGGCTCCGTTGTCGGAAGTCGAGCCGGTGTCAGAGGTGGGCGAGGTAGCGGCGAAGACGTCTGGTACTGGTGGTGACGACGCAGACCCTTCTATGCCAGCGCTGGTGGATGATTTGTCCCCGGTCGGGCCGGAGGGAGCAGAGGCGGTGGAGTTGGATGGTGGTGCTGTCGAGGCGCCGATCGAGGTGAGTGTGTGGAGTATTATTGTTGTTTTTAGCCCCGGCAGTTGTTGGGTATTGTTGATCGAGGTGGAAACGAATTCTGGTTTTACGAGGCGAAGTCAGCGTCGGGCCGTTACTGTGGCAGCGATAATAAAGACGTTCGACATTGGCCAATGACGACGACGTAGTTTTTGTGGGTTGCCCTTTCAACCCTCTCGTTCACACTACCGGTTGGTGTCCGTGGCTCTCCTTATTGCTATGGTATGCCGCGGCGTGACGTCCTCTTTTTCCCGCTGTCGCTCTGTTGGACCCTGTACGTACAATTTCTGCAGGATCTCGAGGCGTCACCCTCCGATCAACCAAGTTCGGGTTCGGCCGGAGACGCCCCCATCGATTATGTCCCGGTGACTGCCGTGGCGGAGCCGTCTGCATCCGCGACGACTGAGGAGACACCGAAGCAGGCAGACGGCGAGACCGCCGGGGAAGTTCTGTCGAGCACGGCTGGAGATGTGGATGTCGCTGAGAAGGCGCCGGTGTCGTCGGGGTTGGTGTCCGCGCTGGTATCGGCGCTCGAGGAGAGTTCGGCGGTGCCACCGGAGGAAGAGGCGGCCGCTCCAGTCGTGGATGAAGTACTACCGTCAACCACCGACGACTGTTCTCCCACAGCTCCTGTGGAGGCGACGTCGGTTGTAGACGATGCATCGGTGGTCATTGAAGCGGCCGCTGTGGACCCTGCGGCTGCGGCGTCGAGCGTGCCAGAACCAACTCCGGCCGTCGTGGACGAGGTACCCGAACCGGCGGAGGTGGAGGTGGCCCCGATCGATGCCGTACCGGTGTCCGCGACGGCTGAGGAGACACCGAAGCAAGCAGACGGTGAGACCGTCGGGGACGTTCCTTCGAGCACGGCTGAGGTTATGGATGTCGCTGAGAAGGTACCGATGGCGGTGGCGTCTCAGTCCGCGCTGGTATCAGCGCTCGAGGAGAGTTCAACGGCGCCACCGCAGGAAGAGGCGGCCGCCCCAGTCGTGGACGAGGTACTACTCTCATCCATCGACGACTGTTCTCCCACACCTCGTGTAGAGGCGACATCCGGTGTCGACGATGCATCGGTGGTCGTTGAAGCGGCCGCTGTGGACCCTGCGGCTGCGGCGTCGAGCGTGCCAGAACCAACTCCGGCCGTCTTGGACGAGGTACCCGAACCGGCGGAGGTCGACGTGGTCTCGTCGAGTTCCGGCGAGGTCACGGAGGAACGAGACGGCGTGGCAGCCGACGGCGTGCTTCGTTCGGGATTGGCCGCGGAGACCACTGCGGCTGCCGTAACCGAGCCCGTCCTGTCAGGCACTGGTGATGTTGTGCCGGAGGGTGTGGTCGATGTGACGGCTCCGGTGTCGAAAGTCGAGCCGGTGTCAGAGGTGGGCGAGGTAGCGGCGAAGACGTCTGGTACTGGTGGTGACGACGCGGACCCTTCTATGCCATCGCTGGTGGACGAGGTTTCCCCGGTCGGGCCGGAGGAAGCAGAGGCGGCGGAGTTGAATGGTGGTGCTGTCGAGGCGCCGATCGAGGTGAGTGTGTGAAGTGGTTGCAGTAGCGTTTAGACTGTTGAGGTGATCTTTGGAGGTTCTGCGCCAATGTGGAAAAGTGGGCGAGTGTGCCGACTTACGGTCAAGTTTGGGCCGTTTTCGTTGATTTGATGAAGCCGGTCGATATCAGCCTTCGACGAAACGTGTTTGGGTGGTGTCCTTCTCAACACTGCTGTCGTTTCCACTCTCCGTTGTATCCTTGTGGCTCGTGCTCGCTAGTGCTATGGTTTCCATCAGCGCTTGACATGGTTTCCCTCTCGCTGTCGCTCTGCCGATTCCTGCACGTGCGTGCTCAATTGTCCAGGTCGTCGGGGGCACACTCTCCGACCAACTCACTTCGGTGGCAGTGGAAGACGCCCCGATCGATGATGTCCCGGTGACTGCCGTGGCGGAGCCGGCTGTGCCCGTGACGGCTGAGGAGACACCGAAGCAGGCAGACGGCGAGATCGCCGGAGACGTTCCATCGAGCACGGCTGGAGATGTGGATGTCGCTGAGAAGGCGCCGGTGTCGTCGGGGTTGGTGTCCGCGCTGGTATCGGCGCTCGAGGAGAGTTCACCGGCGCCACCGGAGGGAGCCGCGGCCGCCCCAGTCGTGGACGAGGTGCTACCGTCATCCACGGACGACTGTTCTCCCACAGCTCCTGTGGAGGCGACGTCCGTTGTAGACGATGCATCGGTGGTCATTGAAGCGGCCGCTGTGGACCCTGCGGCTGTGACGTCGAGCGTGCCAGAACCAACTCCGGCCGCCGTGGACGAGGTACTTGAATCGGCGGAGGTGGAGGTGGTCCCGCCGACATCCGGCGAGGTCACGGAGGAGCGAGACGGCGTGGCAGCCGACGGCGTGCCATCTCCGGCGTTGGCCACGGAGACCACTGCGGCCGCCGTCGCCGAGCCGGTCCTGTCAGGCACTGGTGATGTTGTGCCGGAGGGTGTGGTCGATGTGGCGGCTCCGTTGTTGGAAGTCGAGGCGGTGTCAGAGGTGGGCGAGGTAGCGGCGACGACGCCTGTTATTGGTGGTGACGACGCAGACCCTTCTATGTCATCGCTGGTGGACGATTTGTCTCCGGTCGGGCCGGAGGAAGCAGAGGCGGTGGAGTTGGATGGTAGTGCGGTCGAGGCGCCGATCGAGGTGAGTTTGGGAAGTATTATTGTTGTTTTTAGCCCCGGCAGTTGTTGGGTATTGCTGATCGAGGTGGAAACGAATTCAGGAGCTACGACGCGTAGTCAGCGTTGGGCCGTTACTGTGGCAGCGATAAAGACGTTCGACATTGGCCAATGACGACGACGTAGCTTTGTGGGTTGCCCTTGCTAGCCTTTCGTTCAGACTACCGGTTGGTGTCCGTGGCTCTCTATTGCTATGGTATGTCGCGGTGTGACGTCCTCTTTTTCCCGCTGTCGCTCTGTTGGACCCTGTACGTGCAATTTCTGCAGGAGCTCGAGGCCTCACCCTCCCATCGACCAAGTTCGGGTTCGGCCGGAGACGCCCTGATCGATTATGTCCCGGTGACTGCCGTGGCGGAGCCGTCTGTGTCCGCGACGACTGAGGAGACACCGAAGCAGGCAGACGGCGAGACCGCCGGGGAAGTTCTGTCGAGCACGGCTGGAGATGTGGATGTCGCTGAGAAGGCGCCGGTGTCGGCGGGGTTGGTGTCCGCGCTGGTATCGGCGCTCAAGGAGAGTTCGGCGGTGCCACCGGAGGGAGCCGCGGCCGCCCGATCCGTGGACAAAGTACTACCGTCAACCACCGACGACTGTTCTCCCACAGCTCCTGTGGAGGCGACGTCCGTTGTAGACGGTGCATCCGTGGTCATTGAAGCGGCCGCTGTGGACCCTGCGGCTGCGGCGTCGAGCGTGCCAGAACCAACTCCGGCCGTCGTGGACGAGGTAGCCGAACCGGCAGCGGTGGAGGTGGCCCCGATCGATGTCGTACCGGTGTCCGCGATGGCTGCGGAGACACCCAAACAGGCTGACGGCGAGACCCGCGGGGACGTTCCGTCGAGCACGGCTGGAGATGTGGACGTCGCTGAGAAGGTACCGATGGCGGCGGCGTCTCAGTCCGCGCTGGTATCAGCGTTCGAGGAGAGGCTAACGGCGCCACCGGAGGAAGAGGCGGCCGCCCCAGTGGTGGATGAGGTACTACCGTCATCCACCGACGACTGTTCTCCCACAGCTCCTGTGGAGGCGACGTCCGTTGTCGACGATGAATCGGTGGTCGTTGAAGCGGCCGCTGTGGACCCTGCGGCTGCGGCGTCGAGCGTGCCAGAACCAACTCCGGCCGTTGTGGACGAGGTACCCAAACCGGCAGAGGTGGAGGTGGTCTCGTCGAGTTCCGGCGAGGTCACGGAGGAGCGAGACGGCGTGGCAGCCGACGGCGTGCCATCTCCGGCGTTGGCCACGGAGACCACTGCGGCCCCCGTCACCGAGCCCGTCCTGTCAGGCACTGGTGATGTTGTGCCGGAGGTTGTGGTGGACGTGGCGGCTCCGTTGTTGGAAGTCGAGCCGGTGTCAGAGGTGGGCGAGGTAACAGCGAAGACGTCTGGTACTGGTGGTGACGACGCAGACTCTTGCATGTCATCGCTGGTGGACGATTTGTCTCCGGTCGGGCCGGAGGAAGCAGAGGCGGCGGAGTTGGATGGTGGTGCTGTCGAGGCGCCGATCGAGGTGAGTGTATGAAGTGGTTGCAGTAGCGTTTAGGCTGTTTAGGTGATCTTTGGAGGTACTGCGCCAATGTGGAAATGTGCTCGAGAGTTGCGATTTGCAGTAACGATTGGGCCGTTTTCGGTGATAGAATGAAGCCGGTCGATATCAGCCTTCGACGAAACGTGTTTGGGTGGTGTCCTTCTCAACACTGCTGTCGTTTCCACTCTCCGTTGTATCCTTGTGGCTCGTGCTCACTAGTGCTAGGGTATCCATCAGCACTTGACGCCCTCTTTTTCCCGCTGTCGCTCTGCCGATTCCTGCACGTGCGTGCTCATTGTCCAGGTCGTCGGGGGCGCACCCTCCGACCAACCCACTCCGGTGGCAGCGGAAGACGCCCCGATCGATGATATCCCGGTGACTGCCGTGGCGGAGCCGTCTGTGCCCGTGACGGCTGAGGAGACACCGAAGCAGGCTGACGCCGAGACCGCCGGGGACGTTCCATCGAGCACGGCTGGAGATGTGGACGTCGCTGAGAAGGCGCCGGTGTCGTCGGGGTTGGTGTCCGCGCTGGTATCGGCGCTCGAGGAGAGTTCAACGGCGCCACCGGAGGAAGAGGCGGCCGGCCCAGTCGTGGACGAGGTACTACCGTCAACCACCGGCGACTGTTCTCCCGCAGCTCCTGTGGAGGCGACGTCCGTTGTAGACGATGCATCCGTGGTCGTTGAAGCGGCCGCTGTGGACCCTGCGGCTGCGGCGTCGAGCGTGCCAGAACCAACTCCGGCCGTTGTGGACGAGGTACCCGAACCGGCAGAGGTGGAGGTGGTCTCGTCGAGTTCCGGCGAGGTCACGGAGGAGCGAGACGGCGTGGCAGCCGACGACGTGCCATCTCCGGCGTTGGACACGGAGGCCACTGCGGCCCCCGTCACCGAGCCCGTCCTGTCAGGCACTGGTGATGTTGTGCCGGAGGGTGTGGTCGATGTGGCGGCTCCGTTGTCGGAAGTCGAGCCGGTGTCAGAGGTGGGCGAGGTAGCGGCGAAGACGTCTGGTACTGGTGGTGACGACGCAGACCCTTCTATGCCATCGCTGGTGGACGATTTGTCCCCGGTGGGGCCGGAGGAAGCAGAGGCGGCGGAGTTGGATGGTGGTGCTGTCGAGGCGCCGATCGAGGTGAGTGTGTGGAGTGGTTGCAGTAGCGTTTAGGCTGTTTAGGTGATCTTTGGAGGTACTGCGCCAATGTGGAAATGTGCTCGAGAGTTGCGATTTGCAGTAACGATTGGGCCGTTTTCGGTGATAGAATGAAGCCGGTCGATATCAGCCTTCGACGAAACGTGTTTGGGTGGTGTCCTTCTCAACACTGCTGTCGTTTCCACTCTCCGTTGTATCCTTGTGGCTCGTGCTTACTAGTCCTAGGGTATCCATAAGCGCTTGACATGGTTTCCCCCTCGCTGTCGCTCTGCCGATTCATGCACGTGCGTGCTCATTGTCCAGGTCGTTGGTGGCGCACCCTCCGACCAACCCACTTCGGTGGCAGCGGACGACGCCCCGATCGATGATATCCCGGTGACTTCTGTGGCGGAGCCGTCTGTGCCCGTGACGGCTGAGGAGACACCGAAGCAGGCAGACGGCGAGACCGCCGGGGACGTTCCGTCGTGCACGGCTGGAGATGTGGATGTCGTTGAGAAGGCGCCGGTGTCGTCGGGGTTGGTGTCCGCGCTGGTATCGGCGCTCGAGGAGAGTTCACCGGTGCCACCGGAGGAAGAGGCGGCCGCCCCAGTCGTGGACGAGGTACTACCGTTATTCGTGGAGGACCCTGCGACTGTGGCGTCGAGCGTGCCAGAACCAACTCCGGCCGTCGTGGACGAGGTACCCGAACCGGCGGAGGTGGACGTGGTGCCATCGAGATCCGGCGAGGTCGCGGCGGAGCGAGTCGGCGCGGCAGCCGGCGACGTGCCATCTCCGGCGTTGGCTGCGGAGGCCACTACGGCCGCCGTCACCGAGCCCGTCCTGTCAGGCACTAGTGATGTTGTGCCGGAGGTTGTGGTCGACGTGGCAGCCCCGGTGTTGGAAGTCGAGCCGGTGTCAGTGGTGGGTGAGGTAGCGGGGAAGACGTCTGGTACTGGTGGTGACGACGCAGATCCTTCTATGCCAGCGCTGGTGGACGATTTGTCTCCGGTCGGGCCGGAGGAAGCAGAGGCGGCGGAGTTGGATGGTGGTGCTGTCGAGGCGCCGATCGAGGCGAGTGTGTGGATTGTTTTGTTACATTTCGACTCGGCGGTTGGCTATGATTGTTTTAAAGCAGAAGGTGGAAACGTAGGTGGAATTTGTTACGTGTAGACAGCATTGGAGCGGCATTGTTGAAAGGACAAGGATGCAGGCGGTTAACAGCAGCCAACGCCCTACTGGGGTTTCGGTTGTCATTCTCGACCCTGTGGTGTACACCTCCCGTTGTATCCTTGTGGCTTGTTCACGCAAGTGCGATGGCATGATCTGATGACGCTGTCGTTTCCTGCTGCCTCTCGGTGTCGTCCTTGACGTATGTTTTCTTCAGGATGTCGATGGCGCACCCTCCGAACAACCCAGTTCGGTGGCTGCAGGAGACGCCGCGATCGATGTTGACCCGGTGACTGCGACGGCTGAGGAAACACCGAAGCAGGGAGACAGCAAGACTGCCGAGGACCTTCCGTCGAGTACGGCTGGAGATGTGGATGCCCCGGAGAAGGCGCCGGTGGCAGCGGGGTTGGTGTCCGCGCTGGTATCGGCGCTCGAGCAAAGTTCAGCAGCGCCACCGGAGGAAGAGGCGGACGCTCCAGTGGTGGATGAGGTACTACCGTCGGCCATCAACGACTGTTCTCCTACGGCTCCTGTGGAGACGACGTCGGGTGTCGACGATGCATCCGTGGGCGTTGAAGCGGTGCCTGTTGCTGAATCCGTCGAGGACACGTCGACTCCCGTCTCGAGCGTATCAGAACCTAGCCCGGTCGTCGTAAACGAGGTACCCGAACCGGGGGTGGAGGACGTGGTCCCACCGAGTTCCGGCCAGGTCACGGAGGAGCCAGACGGCGCGGCAGCCGACGACGTGCCATCTTCGGCGTTGGCTGCGGAGGCCACTGCGGCCGCCGTAACCGAGCCGGTCCTGTCAGGCACTGGTGATGATGTGCCGGAGGCTGTGGCCAACGTGACGACTCCGGTGTTGGAAGTCGAGCCGGTGTCAGAGGCGGGCGAGGTAGCGGCGACGATGTCTGGTACTGGTGGTGACGACGCAAATCCGTCAAGGCCACCGCTGTTGGATGATTTGTCTCCAACGGGACCGGAGGAAGCAGAGGCGGCGGACTTGGATGGTGGTGCGGGCAAGTCGCCGATCGAGGTGAGTGTGTTGAGTGTTTTGCGTCGAGATTTGACACCGCGGTTGTTGTTGAATGTTTTGGTCTTGGTGGAATCCTGGGCGAATGTTGCGACGTGTGATCAACATGGGGTCGATTCTGTGGATACCGTTACACAGTTGCACATCGGCCAACGCCGAATGGATTTGTTTATTTCCTTTCTCAAGACCGTCGCATGCACTACCTTTTGTGTCTGGGGACTTCTTCACGCTAGTGTTGTGTTTTCCACCAGGGCTTGATATCTTCGGTCTACCGCCTGCCGCTCTGTATGCCCCCTAACGTTTGTTCTGTTCAGGACGTTGGCGGCGTACCCTGCGAGCAGCCCGCTTCGTTGGCAGCAGACGACGCCCCGATCGATGTCGTTCCGGAGACTGCTGTGGCGGAGCCGTCTGTGTTCGCGACGGCTGAGGAGACACCGAAGCTGGCTGTCGACGAGACCCCTGGGGACGTTCCGTCGATCACGGCTGGATACGCGGATACCACTGAGAAGGCGCCGGTGTCCGCGGGGTTGGTGTCCGCGCTGGTATCGGCGCTCGAGAAGAGTTCCGCGGCGCCATCGGAAGAAGAGGCGGCCGCCCCAGTAGTGGACGAGGTACTACCGTCATCCACCGACGACTGTTCTCCTACAGCTCCTGCAGAGACGACGTCCGTTGTAGACGATACAACCGTGGGCGTTGAAGCGGCACCTGTGGACCCTGCTGTGTCCGCGGAAGACGCAGCGGCTGCGGTGTCGAGCGTACCAGAACCAATTCCGGCCGTAGACGAGGCACCCGGACAGGCGGTGACGGCCGCGGTCCCATCGAGTATTGGTGGGGTCACGGAGAAGCCGGAGGACGTGGAAGCCGACGATGTGCCATCTTCGGCGTTCGTTGTAGAGGCAAATGCTACCGCCGTCGAGGAGCCGGTACTGTCTGGCACGGGTGATGTTGTGCCGGAGGCTGTGGTGGACGTGGCGACGCCAGTGTTGGAAGTCGAGCCTGTATCAGAGTTGGGCGAGGTGGCGGCGACGGCGTCTGGTACTGGTGCTGAGGAGGCGGACTCGTCTATGCCAGCGCTGGTGGACGATTTGTCCCCGGTTGAGCCGGAGGAAGCAGAGACGGTGGAATTGGATGGTGGTGCTGTCGAGGCGCCGATCGAGGCGAGTGTGTGAAGTGTTCTTCGTAGAGATTTTGACACGGCGGTTGTTGTCTTAGTTGTTTGTCTAGGAGGAAACCTAAGCGTGTGTGGCGATGTGTAGTGAAGGTTGGTCCGGTACTGTTGAAGGGATGCAGACGTTCGACACCAGCCAGCGCAGCAGTAGTTGGTTGGTTGCTCTTCTCAACTCCGTCGTTGACACTACGCGTTGCATCCCGTGGTATCCACTTGTACTTGATATCTTCGTTTTCCCGCTGTCGCTCTGTGGGGCCTTGCACGTACATACTCTTTCTGCAGGACGTCGGCGGCGTACCCTCCGAGCAACTAACTACGGTTGCAGCAGGAGACGCGCCGATTGATGCCGTTCCGGAGACTGCTGTGGTGGAGCCGTCTGTGGTCGTGACGGCTGAGGAGAGACCGAAGCAGGCAGACGGAGAGACCGCCGCGGACGTCCCGTCGAGTACCGGTGGCAATGTGGATGTCGCTGAGAAGGCGCCGGTGGCGGCAGGGTTGGTGTCCGCGCTGGTATCGGCTCTCGAGAAGAGCTCTGCGGCGCCATCGGAGGAAGAGGCGGCCGCCCCATCCGTGGGCAAGGTACTACCGTCATCCACCGACGACTGTTCTCCTACAGCTCCTGTGGAGACGTCCGTTGTAGACGATGCATCCGAAGGCGCTGCAGCGGCCGCTGTGGACCCTGCCGTATCCGTGGAGGTTACAGCGGCAGAGGTGTCCAGCGTGTCGGCACCAAGTCCGGCCGTTGTAGACGAGTCCCCGGAACCGGCGGTGGCGGACGTCGTCCCGTCGAGTACCGACGGGATCGCGGAGAAGCCAGAGGACACGGAAGCCGACGGCTTGCCAACTTCGGCGTTGGTTGCAGAGGAAAATGCTGTCACCGTGGCCGGGCCGGTGCTGTCTGGCCCGGGTGAGGTTGTGCCGGAGGCTGTGGTGGACGTAGCGACGCGGGTGTTGGAAGCAGAGGCTGTGGCAGAGTTTGGCGAGTTAGCGGCGAAGACGTCTGGTACGGATGGTGATGCTGTCGACCCGTCTATGCCACCGCTGGTGGACGATGTCTCTCCGGTGGAACCGGAGGAAGCAGAGGCGGCGGAGTTGGACGGTGGCACGGGCGAGACACCGATCGAGGTGAGCATCGTTAAGTCGTTTATGGTGAGGTTAGACTAGGCGGATGTTGGATGTTGGGCGTCAGTGTGAAAATATGGCGTGGTGTGGCGATGCGCTGTCAACATTGGGTCAGTTTTGTTGATATGGTTACGTCGTGTGACATCAGCCAACGACGACGAAACAGTTGTTGGTTGTCCTTATCAATCCCGTCGTCGACACTACCTGTCGTTTCCTCAGACCTGGTCGCAAGTGTTACGGTATCCACCAGTGCTTGACCTCTTCGTTCTCCCGCTGTCGCTCTGTTTGATCATGCACGTACGTGCGCGTTCTGCAGGACGTCGGCAGCGCACCCTCCGACCAACCCACTTCGGTAGCAGCAGACGACGCCCCCATCGATATGGTCCCGGTGACTGCCGTGGCGGAGCTGTCTGTGCCCGCGACGGCTGAGGACACACCCCAGCAGGCAGACGGCGAGACCGCCGCGGACGTCCCGTCGAGTACCGGTGGCAATGTGGATGTCGCTGAGAAGGCGCCGGTGTCGACGGGGTTGGTGTCCGCGCTGGTATCGGCTCTCGAGAAGAGCTCTGCGGCGCCATCGGAGGAAGAGGCGGCCGCCCCATCCGTGGGCAAGGTACTACCGTCAACCACCGAAGACCGTTCTCCTACAGCTCCTGTGGAGACGACGTCCGTTGTAGACGATACAACCGTGATCGTTGAAGCGGCTCCTGCTGACCCTGCTGTATTCGTGAAGGACCCTGCGGCTGCGGTGTCAAGCGTGCTAGAACCAAACCCGGTCGTGGTAGACGAGGTGCCCGAACGGGCGGTGACGGACGTGGTCCCATCGAGTACCGGTGGGGTCACGGAGAAGCCGGAGGACGTGGAAGCCGACAACGTGCCATCTTCGGCGTTCGTTGTAGAGGCAAATGCTACCGCAGTCGAGGAGCCGGTGCTGTCTGGCCCGGGCGATGTGGTGCCGGAGGCTGTGGTGGACGTGGCGACGCCGGTGTTGGAAGTCGAGGATGTGGCAGAGTTGGGCGAGGTAGCGGCGACGACGGCTGGTACTGATGGTGATGATGACGACCCGTCTATGCCAGCGCTGGTGGATGATTTGTCTCCGCTGGGACCGGAGGAAGAAGAGGCGGCGGAGTTGGATGGTGGTGCGGGCGAGTCGCCGATCGAGGTGAGTGTGTAAAGTAGTAATTTTGGTACATGTTGGGATTTGGAGGTTGTTGTGAGTCTAGGTGGAAACGTGAGAGAGAGTGGCGATGTGCAGTCAGCATTGGGCCCGTTCTGTTGGCGTGGTGCAGATGTTCGATATCAGACTATGACGCCGATTCGCTTGTGGATACAACCCTTGACCCAGAGCACGCCAATTTCACCGCGTCACCTTGTCGACATTTATCACCAACTGTCGCGTACCGGTTGCTGTTACTTGTATCCGCATGAACCCACGAACCCGCACGTCTGAATAATCTGTATGTAGGTGTTCGCCTCGAATTTGCGTTAAAAAGAGCTTGCAATCGGAAATGGTCTTGGCTCCCTGCCTCGAAACCCGCGAGAAAACTTCGAAGAATAATACTCATTCATTTCGAGGATGGCAATTAGGTTGGCCAACCCACCGGCGCCCACGCCGACTTCGGTGCAATCCGCGGTGCCGGCGTGGGGTTACTCCTCTTCCCAAACTCCTAATCCAACCAATGAGGCGGCGCGCTTCACTCCCGCCAACTCTCCTCGGGCCCTATAAACTCATTTCACCACCGCCGGAGCCTTGGGGGCTCGTGCTATGTCCACGACGATACCACTACGTCCCTGTGGCTGGTGAAGGGTGTGCCTCTTCCCCACGAAAAACATGATCCCCACTTCCTCTCTCTAGTAGCGCTGTTTCAATCGCCGGCTGGTTGTTCGTCTCCTGTTGACATCGGGCTTCACGTGTTCGCTCATTGCCCTGTCTCCAGAAGCTGGATCACACATCGTATTACGCTATTCAACTGTCTCTTCCACAGGTTGCCGCTGCTGCCGCTGGCGAGGGAGACACTCCGATCGTGGCGACTCATGTACCCGACGACCCTGCGGCAATGGGTGCAGAAACACTCGACGCACCATCGAAGGTCCTCGAGGAGAGCCCCCTTACCCCCGCGCCGGGTTCGGTGGCATCTCCCAAGGAGACCGGGGGAACAGAGGAAAAGAAGGCGGTACACCCACTCCCTAGGTTGTTCGGGTTGGGCAAGAAGAGTAGATCGGAGGACCTCAACACTGTTCCCACCGCGGATGCCGGAACCGACGTCGTGGAGCCCGACCCGACCGGTGCTTTGAGAACCGCAGGCGAGCAGTCGGAGACACCCTTGGCCACAAAAACGAGAGAGGGAACCGAAGAGACTTTCGTCCTCGTGGCGATGGGATCAGACGAAACTCCGACCGGCGCTGCTGTTGTTGAAGGAGCTGTCGACATGAATGCACCCGAACCTGGTGCTCTTGTCGGTGGCGGCCTTCCTAGTCTCGGGACAGATGCACCTGGGGCTTTGGTAGAAGAGGTGAGTTCCGTATGCTGGCTGACCTGAATTGAGATATGTACCCGGGGTTTTAAAACCTTACGGTGGCCACCAGGAACAAACATTGAAAACATTGGTATGAGAGAACGACCCTAGTTGTTGTTGTTGTTGTTGTTGTTGTTGTTGTTGTCTTCACAGTAAAAATCGTTCCGTTGTCTCTACCCAGTACCTTCTTCTGTCCGTACTAGCCTAACACTTGACGCGGTGGATCCCCGTGATCACAGGCTAACTTACCCAAAAAAGGTATACGAAAATAAAATGGACCCTAGTGGCACCCGTTTATAGTCGTCGTCTCTTCCTCCTCTCGAAAACCCTGTCTTCCTCGACCTTTGGGGCAGTCTGCCGCGCACAACACGTGTTCGGCCTTTAAAAAACCGCTGGAGATGTCATGGAGATCTCTTCAGATCACTCGTCTATTGCGGGAGGAAGGAGGGGTTTGGTCCGTTGTTGGCGGAGTAAGTTGTCGCAATTTTCGTGCAACATCCGTCCAAGACCAGATTTTGGCCCAATCTTGGTATTTCCTCTGAGACTATTTTTCGTGTAAGGCTTGCGCGCTGGTGTTTGATTCTTACTCCCATGTATATCTGTTCAACGCAACATAGACACGGTGGTGGGCAATCCCCTCAATCGCAGCAACTGTTAGCGAAGACCAAACAGGTGCTCGGGAGTCGTATAAGAGAGACTACCCGAAGATCGAACGAAACAAGCCGCAGATTTTGCGTTTTTTGCCAAACTCTTAACAACGGTCCAAGCTGTCCTGTACACGGGCGAACATAATGCGCCGATGCCACGCAAACAATACGTGTGCATGTCACTACGCCCAGAATAGAGCCCCCCCCCCACCAACCAACTTGCGGCTCCCCTTTTGGTCTGATCCCCGTCGTGAATCTGCAGCCCCTTCCATTTATTACTTGGTCGGGTGTGATACACTTGGCGTCTTTAACCACACATCACCGTACGACGAAAACTTGCCCACAGGACACTCATGGACCGAAGGCGAGTGACGAGAGTGCCGTTGCACCGGCTGCTGGACTCGAAGGCACTATCGAACAGCCCATTGCAATGGCCGAGGGAGACGTGCCGATGCCCTCTGTCTCGCATGACCAAGTGGATAAATCTAAGGAGTCAGCGGATGTGGCTGGAACTGTGAGGCTTCTGGAGGAGACAGCAGTCGATGCACAGGCGACAGGAAGTGCGGTGGCGGGCGAGGTGGGAATGCCGTCGGCGGTGGCGGAAGGTCAGGGCGGGCCCAAATCAAGCAAGAAGAAGAAGGGAGGTTTCTCTCTGCAGAAGCTGTTCGGTTGGGACAAGGGCAAGCCACGTTCCAGCGTCGAAAACGAATCTCCTGCAGCGAGCGGCGAACAGCCATCTGCCACCGCACCGCTGACCGTGGGCGACGTCGCCACGACTGACAAGGCCACGATGAGCCCTGCCGTAGCGGTGGATGGGCCAACTGCGCGTAATCCGGAAGGGTCTGTCACGACTCCGGCGTTCGCTGCTTGCGAACGAGCTTCAGATGCAGTCGACGCGGTGTCGGAGTCGATCAAAGCAGCAGCCGACCAGATCGCCCCGCATGTAGCGAAGAAGGAAGAGGCCGAAAAGCCCTATTCTGCCGAGGTTAGTTGTTTGCATAGCTTCTCCATCTCGAGACTTGATATCTTATGTACGTGAGGGTATTGCGCCAAGAGATTCGCAAAATAGTACAGTCGCGCTTAAAAAAGGTCCGAAACTGCTTCATGGGCCGTATCCGCGGTTCATCCCACAACTATGTTTAAACACAAACCCGTTAACATCCCCCGCCTCCATCTGCTATCGTTTCAGCAGGCTTGTGACAAGACATTCGCAGGTGGAGCGCAGCTTGAGCCGCCTGTTCCACCTGTCGTGGACAGATCGCCCACCCCAGCGACCACAGACGTCTACAATCTCAAGGTACAGGTTGAGCCGGAGCACGGGTTCCCCGTGGTGGCCTTGGACAAGCCGGTAGCGGAGCTATCGCCGCTCGCCCGCCACTTCCCGGAGTTCGCCCCGAAAGCTGGCAAGCCCGTCGTTGACGGTGACGAGATAGATGCGGCTACCTTGGCGACGAGCGCCCCCCCCCTGGCTGGCCCTGGTGTTAACAAGAAGGAACAACTCAAGGGATTAGCTCCAGTATCACTCGCGGAAGAGGCTGCAAAGTCTGAGGAGATGTTTCTGGGCTCGGCTGCCGGAAAGCCGGCAACACCGGATGATGCTTTTATAATCACCGCGAGCCCGCCAACCTTGCCCGTGTCCTCCGTTGTTCACAAGCCACCGTCTTCGGGGGGCAAGGAGGTGTCCGGTGGCGACGTGTGCGGAATCACGAATGAAGGAATAGCTGACACTACGGCAGCGTTCGGCGTGGTTGACATGTCTGAAATGATGGCGAAAGAGGAGATGGTGAACCCTTCTTCTCCGAAAGCGGAGGGAGCGACAGCGCTGCACGGTAGCCCTGCTGCCGAAGCGGCACCGGCCGCGACCGGCCGTGCTGCACGGCCAAGCCAATCGCCTGGGTGGAAGGGATACGCCGTAGCGGGTGATGATGATGATGCTGCTGCTCCCCCTCCAGAGGGGGCACCCCACACGCCGGGGACTACTGGAGCGGCAAGCGCGGCAGAGGCAAGCGCGGCAGAGACCAGCCTTTACGCCTGTTCTCCCCCGGAGAGCAAAGCCACGATGAACGTGTGCTCTCCCAACAAACAGGATTGCGTGATCAGCTAGTTCTTTTCGACGCGTGCGTTATTGTTGGTTTTCCCTGCGTAGATGACTATTTACATACTTTGCTCAATGGAGTGGCTCGCGCGTAAAAAGTCGTCCACAGCTGTACGTGCATTCGTATTTCCTTGGGGTGCCTGCTCACCCTCTCGTCCTGCCATACTGGACGGGTCCCTGATGAGGTATTTCGTAGTTCGCTCTCGGGGTTGTTCCTTGCCTGACAGTACAGTATCCTTTGATTGGGGTATATAATCGAACGGGAAAGTCTCTGTGATGTATAACTCGAGCGGTGGGCGGTAATTATTTGAAGATGTGCCCGAACGGCAGAGGTAGCAGAGAAACCGAACTCGATATCTTTTGGTATTTGCTGTACGGCATACATGATGACATGTATATATTCAGCAACGCGCAGACAACGCGCAAGGTCGGCGGTGAAGGTGTCAGGTACGTATCGCATGGGTTGTGGCCGGCAGTGAGTAATCTTGCTTGTTGAGAATGTTTTCTGTGGTTTGGCGCTCGCTGATGCCGGCTCGGTTGGTGGACGAAGTGAGTCAGAAAGAAGTGACCCCCTCTCTCACCCCGCTCATCCCCACCACGACATGCATGCGAGGTTTTGAACGGGGGAAGGCGGAGGGAGTCAGTCACCTGGACGGAGATAAGTTGTGTTTGCGTAGACTGTTTTTCGTCTTCACTTTTTCTCTGGTCTTTGATTTTCTTGGAAGGTGGCACGCACTAAAGATGGCCCGTTGTCCTTGCCAAAGTTTTCTGTATAGGGAATTGCGTTTGTGGCATGCTTGCCACCTTTAATGAGAGGCTTAGGTAGTCTCCACAGTGCGGATTGTTTATTTTATTGCATGACGAGGCCATCCGCGGCGGCAGAAGGGCCTCGCTCAAGGATACTCTTCCCCATCAGGCAGGGATTATCGATATCTCTAGAATGGTGGCAGGAACCGCCCTGGAAGTAGGATGGGAGGGATGGAGGAACTGCTAATGTAGGGAGGAATTGTATCAAGATTTCACTTGCTCTTCGTGTTCTCTAGAGACTTGCCCTTATTACGGGGGCGAAATGAAAGTAATAACTTTTCATGCATTGAACGGGACAAACGTTCCACCGACGACGTGGTTCCAACTTTTGTACCAAACGCAAATCTTGATGTCGGGGAAAGATTGGACGTGCCAACATATTCTCAGTGCGGATCATTCATAGGTAAGGCCTCCTGCGGCGGCCGGTGGTCCCGCCCAAACTTCGCCTGGAAATCGTCTTCCGGACCATGAGCCAAAGGGTGCCGCAGTATAGTTGGGAACTCGCCCAAAAAATCGCGTCACAAGAACAAAGTGTCCAAGCCGCGCCCGCGCGAACAGCGCGTCGGCATGCCTGGCGCCCCTAAAGCACTTTGGATCGGATACCATAGAACCAATGGCAGCTCTGAGTAAGCCTTCCGCAACGCGCACAGGCGTTCGCCCACATCTGGACCACATCGCCGTTCCCGCATGGGATTCGCTACGCCAGCTTTGTACTCTCAAGGGAGTGCAACACCTGATGGCGACAAAAGGTTCGGGCGCTCACGCACATGCCGCCGCCGGCGAATGTCAAAAGCTACGTGGTGGCGAAGCTCTGCCGTTGTACGCGCGACTGCCGAGAGGAACGGCTGCCAAATCCTAAAATCCTCGCATTAACACTTGTACACAAAACGTACAGCGACGTAAGTCACGTCGTTCACCGGGGACAAGAGCCTGTACAGCCGGTGGTTCCAGATCGCTCTCTTCCTTCGCCAACAACGTGTCAAGCTCCCCAGCAAGACTACACGTATGAAAAACACCACGTACTTTTGTCTTATGCACAGCTTCTTTCGAATGACCCGTCACTTCCTTAAGGGACAACAATAACATATGCATGTATTCACGCAAAGGCTGCCACCACAATCTGTCTCCCCATCACACCGACTACCGACTACCAAAAGAACCCTGCGACGCCGATACCGACACGTGGTTCTCCCGGTCCAAGCACCCTCCTCTTGCTACAAGCTATCCCTACAAGACACCAATAAAATATTAGACTGTACACATTTTTCAGAGTCCCCCGCCACGAGCGTATACATACGTCCTGCCACAAAAAATGCGTCCAGCCTTGACAATTCGGGAGCAACTATTTAACCCTCCATGTCATTTGGTCAAGGGACTGTCTTCTCTGGGCAACACGGACAAATGGTCCAGGAATGAAGCTTGTAGCAAGTGCATTTCGCTCATAATTTCCCCACAAAAGCAAGGTGGATAAGCCGTGGGCGCACAAATTCGACTTCACGGTCGACGAGGGAAAAAGGGACGGCTCAACCTTTCTCGCGATGGAAATGAATGCAACCACAGGGTCGAAGGTGTAGAAAGTGGGGGGGGGGACAAGCGAGCCTGACTCTTCTCCTGAGAATCACCGCGGCTGGTGCGTCTAAACAATCAAGAAAGATGTAAAACTGACGTCTAGAGAAATGGGTTATCACACACACAGCTTCCATCACCCAAACACCCACCACCCACACACACGCGCAGCTATGTGGTGTAGCCGTCCTTTGTCCCGATCTGATCTGCTGGTAAAAGCCAACTGACCTCCCGGTGAAAAGACTCCAAAGCCTTGACCCACCGATCATCACATCATGTCGCTAACACACGAGGAAAACATGCTCACCAGAAGGCTCGACTGCCCCCCCCCTCGCCCTCCAGGAAGAAGAATTGGAGGCAAACACTTTCCGCCAACACAGCCGTCAAGTACAGGACACCAACAACTCGCACCCTCTCCTCTTCCCGACACACCGGAAACCCATCGCGACCGAAAAAAACTGACACGATTAAGCTCTGGCCTCCATCAACAGCTTGGATTTCAACTACCACGTCACACAAAACACCCGCACGGTACCCATTTTTCTGCAGCAGCAGGCCAACAAACTCAGGCAAAAACAGCGACTATACAACACACGCGAGGGAAAACACGCAGCAACTGCCTTCATAAACAAACTTACCAAACCTCGTAATCAACAGATAATCGTCAACAAACAACGGGGAGAGAGGGCTCTCTGCCAACCCCACACAGCTGCGCACCGCGCTGCAGACCGCCACCACACCATTTCCAACGCTTTGTGTTCCGGCGAATCCCTACCACGTATACAAAACGACAACGGAGTATTGTAACAATGATGCAAATGATGCACTCGGGCTTGTCAGCAGCCAATTGCTTCTATACGGCTGAACACAATACTCCGAGATTTGAATCTCGGGTCGACTAACTATTAGATGAAAACGTAAAGGCGAGGACGGGGGGACGACAACATCGATGGACAAAAAACGCAGACAGCCCAATCGTTTCAGTTTTTACCACCACGATGTGCTAGCCGCGCGCCTCAGCTGCCTCTGCCTCGAGGGTGTCGAAAACCTGGGCGACGTGGGGGGCAGGTTATCGCCCCCGCCCCCGCCGCGCCCCCCGTTCACACTCCCGACGTCCACACTAGCAGGCACGCCGCCTCCGTCTTCGTTCGGCCCACCGGTGCTGCTCCTGAAAATGTTGGCCGCCCACTCGGGGAAGGGGGACCGCGGGGAGGTGAGCGGGGTCGGGGGTCGGCCCGGGGTCGAGGGGAACTGGATGCCGAAGGCCGTGGACGTTGCGGCCACCGGGGCCAAGCCGCTCGGGCTGCGGCGGTGCCGCGGCGGGCTGAGGACTTCTGGTCGAGAACAAACACGAGAGTTGGCGGGAGGGTGGGATCGGGTGTGGGTGTGGGTCGGTGCAAGGATGGCCACGATGATTTTTCTGGCTGGAGCAAGGGACGGTCTTGATGTCGAAGGCGACGAGTTCGTGCGGAAATGCAACAGCTGAGACAAGCCCATCGCGTTGCTCGTTAGTCTCCGAGCACAGAGGAGGGGAAGACACCACCATCGGAGTGAAACACGGCAAAGAAAGGCGGGCGGACGGAACGGGGGAAAGTAATAAATTGAGCAGCCGGTCGGCTCTGACCTGGCGGCGGCAGGTAGACCGGCTCGCCAGTCATTTCTTCGACCAAGCCGGCCGCCATCCTGTCTGGAAGGGCCCCCTCTCCGTCCAACAAGGCGATCTTCCGGTTGTTGCCCTGCTCCTCCCAAGCGGCCACCACCTGCCACAAACCGGAACAATCAAAGCACCAAGTTGTCCATCATTACATCTATCTCCCTCTCTCTACCTCTCGGCAAGCGCGTGGCAATGGTGTACCTTCTTCTTGACACATTGTAAGATGGCTAGCACACGCTAAAACACTCCCGTCTGCATAGAACAAGGCTAAAATAGATGCCAACTATCTCATCTGGGTGCGTCAGATCGACCACTGCCATTCTCGTTCAGAGCGGTCGCCCCCAAAATATCTGCCTAATGCACACAATCAAAACAAAGCGAGTACTGTAGCCCAAAAACACAAGGACGACCGACTGCTGTATACGAGGAAAGATCTCCCAGAGCCGAAGCAAAGAGTCCCGCTGCCCCATACACTTATGCATCCCACGGCAACAAATAATACATGAAGCGTTGCTGTAGCCCGTCCTCGCTGCCCCGGGATGTTCACCTCATTCAGGCCAACAGGAGCCTGGCGAACCAACTCGTCGAAAGTCTTGCACCCCTCCGCGTACCGCCGCACCGCCTTCACAGTTGCGGGCAGGCCATGGCTCTCGAACATGCCCTTCCGGCATCCGTGCAGCACCGCGAGCGCAACCCAGACCAGAACCGCGGGCCCGCGGCGCCCGTACCACATAAAGAGGTCCCAGATGCGGGTAACCACGGACTGGTTGGACATCGACCCGGCGTAGATGCAGATGAACCACCTGTTGCAAGGAAAGAGACGTGGAGATGAACGCTGGCGGTGTAAAACACGTGTGGGAATGATGAAAACAACAACAACAACAACAACAACAACAACAACAGCGCTTTTAAGGGGGGAGCAGAATGAGAGACGATTACCAGATTATCCGCGTGGGGTAAGGCCGGCAAGAACGTATTCTAACTGTCGGGACGACCCCCGAAGGCGAAAAACAAACGCACCGAACGCCGCAGACGGCATAGAAAAGGCCCGAGCAGAAGTAAAAACATGTTTTATTTTACGTTCTAACGCATGCGTGCCGCCGCAGACTCTGGACCAAACGACGGCCCTGCCTCCGAGCAAAAGCGCGGCGGGGACAGTGGCGGCAGCATCTGCCGCAGCAGCAGCAGCAGCAGCAACAACGATGACAAAAATAACCACCACAACCATGGCATATCTTCATCCGGTCGTCTCCTCAGCGCGAGATACTCCGCTCCAGAAACCCAAACGTCGTCTCGATTTATCTGGAGCTGATCTCCGCTCTTTGTCGCCGACTTTCCACCACAACAGCCACTGCCGCCCCTGCGGAAACGAGTCCCCACCACTCAACCGCTCGTTGTGGTAGTTGCTGCGTTCAGAACGAACGCATGACAGGTGCTCGTGATGCTTGCTCTGCTCACACAGCAGTAGGACCACCATGACAACGACCGCGCGTCTTTTCGCAGCGACAAGAAGTACGCCGCCAACACATGCCGTTCCGGCGGAAACACAAAACTCTGGTACCCTCGTCTAACAACTGACATCAACCTGCGCAGAACTCGACCATCGAACAGCAACCTCCTTCATGATTCTGAAACCGCCTTTCTCTCGCACTCGCCCCTTGCAAGCAAACCGTTTGCATCGGTCGGTCGTCCGGTCACCGACCGGTCCAGTAACGTGACACGAGATATAACACCCCTGGACCGATCTTCAGAGCTCGAATGCTCCACGACCAAAAATATTCAAAGGATACGTTTTCGGAAAGATCTCGAGGGGGCGGTTCAAAACGCCGCCATTCTCCGCACCGCGACTGTTTCTGCTGTGGAGTAATCGGGCTTTGAAATCAGCCCAGGGGGTTTGATACCTTGTGTCACCTGCCCCGGTATATTGAACAGACTCAAACACAAGCGGATCGGTCACCTGGGCGTAAGAACGATTAGCTCGAGGTTAACCTTCCTCAAGTGCTCCATGACGTCCGGGCACTGCCTCGAAAGCAGGTCTTCCACAAGCTCCGTGTTCTGGACAACAAAAAGAACGGAAACCGCCACAGGGCGCATCAGAGGCACCCAAGAAAGGGTTGTGGCGCACAAGTGATGATTGGTGATGCAACCACAGCAACATCAAAGAAGCACGATCCAATCACAAGCTTAAAGAAGGGGCGTACTATGGTGTATAGAGAGAACAATAAAATGGGATTAAAAACACACAGACTGACGTTTTCGCATTTGGTCAGTCAGCGAGCGCAGTTGACGCTAATAGTGAAGGCACACACACGCGCGAGCGCAGCACGCTCGGAATGCCGACCGCCATTCACGGCGGTGCTCATCCTGGCCAAAAACGGACCAGAAAATAAAACACCAATGATCAACAAGCTGAAGCCCAACACTACCACAGCGTGCCACCATGTGCCCCCCTCCCCCTCAATCCTTCGCCGCCCACTCCTTTCAGAATTCTGCCATGTACAGGCGACCCCTGCTAACCCCCCCCCGCCCCCGCCCCTCCACTCACCGCATGCAAGCCCCACAGGTCTCTAGACAGCACGCCCCCCTGGAGCGCGATGACCCCCTGCAACATCTGGACGCACTCGTTCTCTATCTGGGCAACCTCGGCCACCGTTGGCTCTTTCACGGCCGCCGCCTCCTTCTCCGCCCCCCCGCCCATACCCTCCGTCTCCACTGCCGCACTCCCTTCGTTCGCGGGCCCGGGTTGCACGTCGGACGGCTCGGTGACGTCACCGGCTGCGGCGGAATCGGCCGGCGCATTGCTGCTGCAGGTGCTGCTGCCCCCGCTGGTGCCTCTGTTGCGGCTGGAGCGGGACTTGAGGTCCTCCCGCTCGGACAAAACGCAGTCGGCGAAGGTTATCAACATGAAACCCGCGAGGTAGTTCATGCCCTGTGTTTCGGGCGGGAAAAGATGCGAAACGCACGCATTAAAAATGCATGCGTTAAACCAACGGGCTGAGATAGATTGGGGCAACAGCGTCCTCGTGTGGACAACCATGCCGTTGATCCCGTGTGCTACATGAGCCAGCCCTTGATTCCCCAATGCCAAGCAGCGTGGTAGACCACCGGTTAGGTATCAGGTGAATAGGACCAATGGCAAAATAACTCCCCTTCAAAAGGATAAGAGGGCAAGGGCGGACGACAACTGCGTTCACTCTTTAAACCATCAGCGGTTAACACGGTACTCATCGCAAAGACTGAATGCCAGCACCAGGCACACCTCTTCAAAAAAGAAAATTACGATTCACCAGACGCTGCGTTGCACACGTTATGAGCCTACGGGGCGTGAACGGTTGAAGCGACCCCTATTCACATGAGCAATGGACAGCACAATCTGTAACACGCCTATTTTTACTTCATGCATGCGATACACGAGGGAATCACCCAACCGCGAACCAACCACGGACCACCTTCCGCTACTCCATCTCCGCAAGAGACAGCGGTGAAACTACTGAGGCGAGTAAAACCCTCCTCCGCCCAGTCTTGGGTGTCCGACACGCACGCACTTGAATATACCCGGCTTCCTTCACGGCGCCGAGCTCCGCGCAGCGGACTAGCACCCGCTTGAGCATGGCCAACCCCTGCCCTCCGCTCCCGAACAGCGGGTGAACTATCTTGGTCCGAGCGACATCGTGCGCGATGGTGTTGACGATAGAGCCCTCCTTCGCGGGGTCGGACGACTGCTTTGGTTTCTTGTAGCTGCACATGGAGGGTAAAGTGGGGGGGCGGGGTACAGGGTGGTGGCAGACAAGAGATGGTCGACGTGCGGTTTCAGCCATGAAGTAAACGCGGTACGGCATCTGAGGCAGACAGTAACTGGTGCCGTCTGAAAATGTTCTCCAGGGCGGTGTGTTTTCGGCAACCACGAAACTCGTGACACCACGGTGGCACTGCCACAAGTTACCCTTTCTTTTATTTTTAAGTACAAGCTTATCTCGCTGTACCAGTCTACCGGCTTTGAGGTAAATGTAGACAGGTCCTATATATAGGCCAAGTCCCTTGCTGCATATCATCTCGGTGGCTGCAAACCCAAAAAACGAAAGCCTCCCCACACGGACGGTGCAGCAGCAGCACCACAACCAAAACACCCTCACGTCTCAGGCGTGGCGACCGCCGCCCAAGCCGCCCAGATGTGCCGCCTCCCGAACCGCGGGAGGCCATGGCTCATCACGGCCTGCCGCACCGTCTGGTCCTCCGTCCTCTGCGCCAGCACCCAGCGCCAGACCCTCCCGTTGCCGTCGACGCCGCCACGCCGACGAACGGTCTCGACGGGAATCTTGGCGTACACCACGGGCGCGTGCCTCGCCGCCAGCTGCTGCTGCTGTTGCAGCTGCTTCTTCGCCGACACGGCATCCCTGGCGGCCCGGGCCGCGCGCAAGGCCCCCGGCGGGGTCACCGATTCTCCAATCCGCGTCGCCGCCGCGGACGCTAGTGCTGCCGCTCCCTCGGCGGTTTCTGTGCCGCCTGCGTCCGCGTTGGGGTCCGGCGGAGCAATAACCGGAAAAAAGACCGACATCTGGCGCATCGAAGCGTCGCTGCCGGCGCTCTCGTTACCGCGCGCACCGCCGCGGCGCACCGAAGCGTCGCTGCCTGCGCTCTCGCTACCACGAGCGCCGCCGTCGGCACCATCGCCTCCGGCGCCTGCGCCGGCGCCGGCGACGCTCGCCCCGTTAATCGAATCGGCGCCGCTGTCCCGGCGTCTGCCCTCCAAGACGACGGCGGTCTTCTCCTTCTCTCGCGAAGCGGGGGACGGGCCCTCGATCTTGGCACTGTTTACCGGCGGGCTCAACAGGCCAACTTCGTCGCCGATATCTTCGGAAGACCCTCTGCTCCGCTCACCGCCGTTGCTGCTGTCTTTGCGCGGGGCCGGGAGCACGCTCCCGGGCCTCGACGTGCCGCTGAAACCGACGCCGATGCTATCTCGGTGGTAGCGCCTTTCCGTCCTGCCGCCGCTGCTGCGCCTCTCCATGGTGCCGCTGCTGCTGCTGCTGCTTCGTCGACGCTGCTGCATCCAGGAGTTATCCGCGCGAAGGCGATTTGGCATCGGGCGGCTAGCCCCGTCGGCGTCCGAGGATTCCCCGCCTTCGGCTGCGGTCGCGTCCCACTGCCAGGCCGGGTGCTTCTCTTGGGCATGAGAAGAAGAAAAAGAAGCGACGGGCGACGATGTCTCTATTCTCTGCGAGGGGCGGCGCCTGCTGCCACCGGATTTCTGCTGCTTCGGGGTCGTGATTCCCGTCGTCGCCGCCGCCGCCGCCATGGACGCCATCTCTCGCTTGAGCCGAGCAACCTCCGCCCTCAGCTTTTCCAGCTCCTCGGACTCAGCAGCGTGCTCCTTCTCGGGAGAGGTTCCGCGGGGCTGTTCCGTTCCCGCCGCCACAGCAGTACCCCCGCTTCTGCTCCGGTCTGCAAATCCCCCCTCCTCCCGGGTGCTCTCGTCGCGGTCCGCGGCCATAGAGTTTGCCGTAGGTGTGGCGTGAACTTCTGCCTGTGCGTTTCCAGAAACCACCGGCGACGTCGCCTTCGACGCCGCCTGCTGTGCCACTGCCCCCGCCCTGTCCGCCACCGCCTCAAAGGCGGAGGTCGGCCACCGCATCGGCGTGGTCGTCGGGGGACGTTCCGTCGGCGACTCGGTTGCCGCGAAGCAAACGGGCACCTCGTTTGCTGGGGACTCCTGCTTGTCCTGCTGCTTGTCTTGCCGCTGCTGCTGCTGCTGCTTGTCTGGCTGCTGCTTCTGCTGCTGCTTCCCCTGCTGCTGGTTCTCCTCCTGCTGCTCAGTAGCCCGCGTTCTTTCTCCCGCACCGGGAGTCGCAACACCATTCAAAGCCGCACCAGCCGCCGCCGCCGCCGCCGCCGCGCCAGCACCACTGGTAATCACCGGTGGCGGCCTCAACCTCGCGCGGGGGACGGAAATCATCGAGCTCGCCCGCTTCAGGTGGGTCGCCTCCCCGCCGCCGGCCACGCCCACTCTCCGGTTCGACGGCAGCGGTCGCCGGTACCACGGAAGGCGGTAATAATCTCCGGGGGGTGGCGCGACAACGCCTCTGCCCCCGCCGACGGCCCCGCCGCCGCTACCGGCGCTACCGACGGAGGAGAACCGCGGGCGCGACGGCCCCCCCCTCTGCCGGAGCCGCGATTGTCGGGGGCCCGCCGCGTCCCCCGTCAAGGACGAGGGCGAACACAACTCCGGCACCGCGTTTGCCGAGGCCTTGGTGATGGAGCAGAGGAGGCTCATCGCCGGGGAGTCTTGCTCTTGGTCCTGCGCAAAGCGAAGGCGGGTGCGTTTGAGGTTTTGGGGTGGGCAACCGTACTCAAGCGACCCAGCGGGCGCCCGGCGTTTGTCGTTTGCCGGGTCTGCGGTGCCGAAGCAGGTCAAGTACGTGCGCATACGTATGCTGGTGTGCTACCAATGTGGCGAATGTACTGCGACGGCGGCCAATCGGGGGCAGCGGGCACAACCCCACGCAAGCTGAATAGAGCGCATGCTGAACAGAGCGCGTGCTGATAACAGAAGTGGTCTTTTCGGCTGTCTCTCCACCTTTGGGACCGCCGACCGAGCCCTGCCTGATGCGGCAGAAACACTTCTAGCTGCGTGCACTCATGTCTGGAAGGAAGCGGTGCTTTCGTTTGTACACCGCAGTGTTGCTCGTGCCTTGTGGGGTGTCGGACAACCAAAAAAACTAACCTGCACCGCAGCAGCCAGAACCTTCTCAGATGCCGAGTCGGCCACCCCGCGAGCATCGCCGAACCACTCCCCGTCCTTCTCCAGATGCGACGACGACTGTTGTTGCTCTTTTCTCCCGCTGCCGCCGCGGGTGATGCCACTGTTGATGCCGCTGCCGCTACCGGCTGCCCCCTCGCTCCTCCTCCTGCTCATGCTTGCCCTCCAGTTGCGAGGCACGGCCAGGCGGCTTTGATGCCCGGGCGGAAAGGACTCGGGGCTGCTGTCGCCACCCCTGCCGCCGAGGCCTGTGCTGTTCGCTGGTTGGGCATCCGACCTAACGTTGCGCATCTCCTGATACCACGGAATGGGGATGGATCTGAGAGGCAACAACATCACAAAAAAGGACGCACAAGAGGAGCACTAGACAGAGGTCGGACGTGTCTTGTACGCCCGCACAGTAGAATCAGCAATGCCATCTTGCGCCATGAATTTGTCGAGAGAAAAGGCGTTCAACGACCAGGTGCCTAGGACTGATTTATCAGGTCCATTAATGCTTGGAAAAGAGACACTGAAAAAACGCTCAAGGCCGGCCTTTGCCGGGTGGCTGAAGCGGATTCTTGCACAACTCCCCAGCCCCCTCAAGAACTGGAGGAGGCAAGTAATACCGGAGGGGAACGGTGGAGAAAAAATAGAATCCAGTGTTTACGTCCCTCTTCTGTGACTCCGCCTGGTGCTTCACACAATCACCGGAAGGTGTAAAACGGCACCCAGAATCGATTGGACGCAAATCAGCTGAAGAAAACACAGCCAAGCACACAAGTAGCAACGAGGGCTTTCACGTGCAGCGTGCAGACCACAACAGGAGAGAAGGAAGGGAGCTGCCTAAAACTGTCCAGTTATGCTACAATACAACGCTATGAAACCGTAGGGATAAACCGCACAGGAAACTTATTTGTGACCCCAGATTGGATCTCGCTTCAGTCGCAATACAGGTTACCATGGTTTTGTGGTACAGAGTACTTTGGTGCGGTTGAGAGGAAATGGCGGAACACAAAAAAAAAAAACATTGGCTCTTGGCTCTTGACGCCGCCTCATTTTTGAAAATGTTTCTCCGAAAATGGTACTTCTGTAGATAGATAACTTCTAGTGGATACCATGCCCCGGGATCGTCTCTCTAGCCGCTGGAGTTCACGTGCAAGAAAAACACGAGCGTGAGGAAAGAAGCAAAAGCGCTTGTACGGGCTTGGCAAATTGTCAAGTTGTGGATCTACAACAGCAGTATTCGACTTTGCACTTTTGGACCAAGGACATTTGCATTTTCCTGCTGCATGATCCCTTCTTCGTCTTGCAAACTCAAACCCTCAATTTGCGACTTCAGGAGCGCACCGAGGAGGAAACGATCAACTGCAACAACGCCATTAGTCGGTAGTTTCTATCACTACCTGCCATGTTTTTGTGGTATATGGTCGAGACCGTTCATGCGTCGGTTGAGTACTTTTTCGGCTCAGTTTTTGGGAGTCCATGAAGTCGGCGCCGGCGACTGGAGGTAGGGTACATGTATCCAAGCCTAGCACTCTCGTCTCCACGCTTTCTCTTACCGAAGGGGTGAACTCTCGCCCTCGGGAGACAAAGGGCACTATCCTCGTGCTTCAGGCCCTCCTAGCACCTTATCCTTCACACGCGCGTGGCGCTCTGTCTGGTCCTTTGTGCAGCAAAATGTGAAATACAAACAACGGGGGGCTCCGCTTCAACCTTGGCATCCCCCCTTGAAACCATCGAATACCATCCCTTGGACCTCCCTTCGCACGGGAGCAGCCGAGCAGCCAGCAGACACGATCAACACCACAGCACAGCCCCAGTGGAAGAAGGAGCGGTGCTTCACGATGGTCTTGGGTGGGAGGCTGTCCGTAGCAACCTTGTTGCTGTCGCTTCCGGCGACAGCATCAGGGTTCCTAATTCCGTCGTTCTGCCGCGGATGCACGGCGCGAGCTTGGTGTTCAGCAGCAGGTAGACACCATTGCACTACGCTGTAGTTGTAGTCTACCGCCTTACGTGACTGAGATACACCCATGAAGATACCACACCTCCTCCATAGCTAACGCACGCCGAGTGGTGGTAGTTTCTACGGCACAAAATGGGCCCGAAACTCAGAACAATACCGGATGAAGTAGCATACAATGCTGGATGAAGTAGCCGCATCATGCGCACACAGCAGGTGGGTTACAGATGCCACCGTCTGCCGCCCATGGTGCCCGAGGTGAGCGGTAGTGTTGGTATGCAGCGAGCATGGTTGTGATTGGGCATCGTGGGCTGCATGCGAGGTGGGGTTGTGCTTGATGTTGAAATCTGCGTTGATATACGTGCCTGTGTTGGCGACAGCTGAAGGAACATTAGTCAAGATAGATATTTCCCCAAGCGCAAATAGGTGTGTGACTGTGTGACTAAATACAGCGTTGTGTAAACCGCTTCCCTGATCAGCGTGCAGCATTTCTGGTGTTCTAAAGATGCACCATGCAGTGGTGGCCGTAGCTCTGCAACAGATGAAAAAAAAAATTCAAAACCATTCGAACCTGTTCACGCAGGCGAGGACGATCGAGCACTAAATACTCTTGAAATAACCTGACAAGTCTGTGCCACCCATGCGGGCTGTCACCATTCGAGTAACACAGGTGGCGTCGCTCGTCCGCACACGTGTAACCACAAGCTGTACGTACAGACGCCCCCAGACGATAGATGACCTACATGCCTCCATGAGCTGTCCTTATGTGCATTAAACCGATTGCTGTGCAGCAGCGGATCGACCTCCCTCTGCGGATGCGGCGCGACGAAGGAGTCGGCTGCCCTTGAAAAAGGAGGACCTCCCGGACGAGACGCTCCGGCAGATGGCGGACGCTGGGAGAGCGCTCAAGGAGCTCGAAGAAGAGTACTGGAAGTCCCTCGACCCCGACGAGATCGCTATCGAGAAAAAGTGCGCAGCGGGTCTCGCGTGCCTGAAGGCTGGGATGCTCGAGAAGGGCTGCGAGTACTACACCTCCGCAGCCGATTTAAGGTTTGCGTGTCGACAACGGCTCCGTAAGGGCAGGGGGAATCATTGTGGTGTGAGAGGTGAAATCTTTCAGCTTCGTATGTTCTTGCCCGCTGGGTATGCAATCATGTAGATCTCTATCAACAGTACGCACACACGAGTGTTCTGCTCCCACCGACTCTAACGTGGCTTCCCGTGTGTTCAGGCGCGTGGTTTGTTGAAGGTGGACGCTTCGCATGGCTGTGACGCCAACAACGATGTTTTAGGAAAATTTCGGACGCGACGGGAGGCGCACTGTATGTGGCATCCGGTACTAAAAGTTGTCGCGAAGCCTTTTGACACCATTGAAATGTTGACAATATTGAAATTTGTATGTGTAGCGACTTTTCGCGTCATGAGCCTCGACTTCTCATCCCCCCTTCTGTTGCTCCCCTTCCCTACTTCACATTCATGCTCAAGGACGTACCACCGACGGAAATCCTGTCTGCTCCCTTGCCCCCCCCCCCCGCGTGTCCCCTTCACAGCCCACCGTCCGCGCGCACTTGGCCATTGGGAGTGATCCTTTATTACCTCGGGCGATACGAAGAAGCGGCAGTAAGGCTGGACACAGACATCAGATCCTTCGAGAAGCAATTCGAGGAATGCGCAACGGACGAACGAATCTGGCAGGTGATTCGGACATCCACCTACGTACTTCACAATCGCAAATGCTTGTCCAGGCATTGAACTTCCCTTTTAATTCCCTAGGGTCCCACTACTCCACTCTGAACATTTGCGTAAACTGAATACAGACAGCGCACTTCACATTGCGTAAGATTTTGAGAGTTCAAATTGTTGAAGCTGGTGGACTCGTTCTTTTTCCTTTGAAGGCGGCGGCATGGATCCGAGGAGCACGGGAGGCAGGGGCAGATGTGGAGCAGGTCGCGGCGGCCTTGCCCCCGCTCCCAATTTCGGAGCCGAACGCGCTCCGCAGGACCGTGTACAACGTGAGATTTTGTTTTTGGTGTAGTCGTTGCGTAACGTGTTTGGTTTTGTATGACTGTTTTCCTCGTCTTGTTGCCCATTTTCTTTTTAACTGCGGTACCAGTACGTAGGAACCGTCAGTATCGCTTGGACGCACACCATATTTGATGTGCCTATTTTGCCGTCGCCCTTGAGACCACGCTGCTTCCTTCTTGTTGGAAGTCTGTTGCTTCACGTACGTTGTTGTAAAATATGCTGATGGACATGATGGTGCATCGAAATGTTTACATGGGGAGCCGGTTCAGCTGCGCTTCTCCGTTCTTGGTATCGATTGTTGATGCTGCATATGCATCTGCGCGCTTTTTTGCAGATGTTTCGCGGGGGACCAACCCCTGAAGACGTCCAACAGGTTGCCAAAGTGGGCGCTGGCGGAATCGACTACTTCGGGGTGGATTTTTTCTCCGAGGTGTTCTTGGGACTTTATCACGATGCGCACGGGAACGAGGTGAGATGACAGACGATACCCGTGGTGTTTTAATAGCTCTTTTGATCTGCATTTCATGTGCCGCCAATCAAACCGACCTCGTTGCCTGACAGGCGTAAAATAAAAAACCGTTGCCACGTCGACCTGGCGGACGCGAAACGCTCTAGAAGCCAACCCTCTTTCTCCTGCACCCGTTTGTTGCTCCCTCGCTCGTGTCACCAACGGCATCATCTAGCTCGAAGCGGAGACGTACATCCTGGCGGCGTGCGGAAACACGTACCCTAACCCCGACGACCTGTGGTACCACACCCCCAGGATACATGCCAAGGCTCGAAATTGGACGATTCCAGGGTAGCAAGCACTATAGGCGTAGAACATAGCTTTTCGTACAGTGTTTAGTCTGCATTGGGGTGGCAGCTTTCCTGATCTAGAAAAGGTCGCCGAACTAGATGATTCACTTTGTTTGCGGTTGAATGTGCGCCAAGTTTGTTTGCCTGAGGCCCGGAGTGACTGACGCGGGCACGGAGAGATTTTGCCAGGCGAAGCGCATCGTAATGTTGATGATATCACCAACAGTATATCGGAAGGCTGAACTCAAGCCAAGTTCAGCAGTACAGAACAGGCACAAATGCAAATATGCCGCAGCAACTGAACAGATCGAACAACAATGGTTACATGGCCGTTTGATGACAAATCGATCTGCGTCATTTGGTGTTGGTAACCAGCAAGGCAGCACGACATCGACAAGCTGGTCGTTGTCGATGACTGATTCCGGCCGATGAAAATGCATGAGGCGAGCAGTTCGCTTGAACCAACCGTGCTTATCATTAAAAATTGAGTGAAACGAACCAGACGACCCCATGTGGGGAAAATTCTGAGGTTAGGTCGGGGTCTGTTTGCCTGTGGACCTTGGCCCCTACCGGCCAGACCGGAGCCAATACTGTTGTAACCGGTTGTACTTTTCGGGGCTGTTGGCAAGAATGACCCCAGCGGTCTTAGCACGGATGGTCGTCCCCGGTTAAGATTTGGTTGACTTGCCCAACGACGATCCTCGATTGCTGTGCAAAAATCGCCGGCGGAGCGCCCGATCAATCTCGCACGAACCCCCCGTAGCAGTGCGAGCCACTCCGCACTCCTAAAGTCTGTGACGGTCGGTCGGACCGATTACGTTCGCACATCTCAAGTAACATACAACGCTTCCATGAGACATCATTCAAAGGACGCCTTGCTTACCCGAATAGGGTGCCCTAACACGAGGAAACATGTATTACTCCCGAACCTATCAATACCCGCACACCTTTCAGCACTCTCTCAACACCACCTTGACACTTGCACAGGTGGGGATAAACACTACCAACAGAGCTTTTACAAGTACAACATCGTCCGCAATGCGGTCCAGGCTGCTCGGTGACTCGGAAGTGGCAACATCCTTGTAACCTTCCTCACCAGAGAAATTACGCCCGGGCTACACGCCTCGACACGAAAACCTCCTGCGCTCTCTGCCTTTCTTCTCGTGCCAAAAGTACAACTCTTGCCTCTTCAGCCTCTACCGCCCCGCCTCCTGTTGCCGGTTCTTCGTTGTCCTCGCCGCCGTTACCGTGGACAGCTTGGCGCAAGACCGCCGCAGCGCGGGCCCTCCTCTCCACCCGTGATCTCTTCCTTGAATCGCGCCCCCGATCGGGCCTCGTTTTCGTTGACGGTAGCTGCTTGTTTAATCCCGGCGTTGCCACCGCTCGCCTTGCCCTACCTTCTTCGTCCTCATCGTTGTCGCTGGTGGGCCTTTTACTACTACTGTTGGTCGTCTCAACATCGTCCACCCCCGCGGTGGTCGCTGTTCCGCCGCCGGTCGCCGCTGAGGCGTCCTCGATACGCATGAGGTTCGCCTGCAGGGTCGCGCGATGGCGTTCGAGGGCGGATACCTCGGAACGTAGAGAGCGTACGAGCTCGTGCGCGTCGGTGGCAGATTGGACGACGTCGTCGATGGAAGCGATGGAATGTCCGTGGCCGCCCTGACCGGGCGACATCGTGTTTGTTGTCTGTTCGTGGCGTGAGAACGGCGGTTTCAGGGGGGAGGCGGCGCATTTTTGTTTTTTTACGAGAATAAAGAACCACAGCGAACGCAGACGGCAGCGCACGTTATCATTACGCACCTTGTTGTTTCAACGCATTTACATGCAAAAGCAGACAAACCAATGTCGGTAACACGCCGAGCAACACAGAAACGTATTGTTGTTGGACCTGTCGTAGATACGACGAAGTCAGACACATAAAGGCTGTTTCGAGGTCGGCATGGAAAAGCAAGCCAGTCTACCCGTGACGTATGCGGCTGCATCGTGTGGTGGTCAAAAACCGGCCGACCCCACCAACATGTGCATTGGTGGTGTACCTCGACAAGGACTCCTTCCTCCCGCAAGGAGAACCCCCCCCGACTCGCCCCCTCTTCTCCGTGCCTGGCAGCCCCCGCCGAAACATTGGGCGCAACGTCGAATTCCGTTCGGCCTGAGGAATGGGGAACACCACCACTTCTCAACGCGGTCTCCAGGCGCTGAACCTCGTGCGACAAGCGGTGAATGTGCGTTCTAAGGCACCGTGGTGCGTGCGGGGGGAACGGAGGGTTGGAGGTAAGAAGTAAGCGCATGGAGATGAAGCATCGAAATATCGGACAAATGGTGGACATGAGAGTACCAGCTCCAGAACAAACCAGTCTACAGTAGGCCTACTGGCGAAGTTCCTCTGTTTCTCGCCGGCCAATCATTTTCCTTGGTGGCAGAAATAATCCTACCGCGTGCTCGGTTCGGCTCGTGAAGAGCTAAGAGAAATATTTGAACCGCGACCTCCGGCGACGGGAGCCCCAGCATACAGGAGGGTGTTGCCTTTGCCACCCGCGCACCGTTCGGTCATATGGTCAGGGTGCGAGACCCATGTACCATAGTACGAGTGAAGCATAACGTCGCGTTCTCGAGAATCGTTCGTCTCCCCCTTGCCCCATTCGCCCCTTCGAGAGGTAGATCAAGTTTCATGTAAGGTGCACAATAGATCTTCTCTCAACCCGTCTTCGCTCGAGCAGGCTGCAGGAAAGCTGCTTAATAACCGCAACCGCGTAAAGTTCGGTGAGCTAGCTTGCCGCGACCAGTCATCTGGGGGGTAGCCACCCTCCAGTCACCAACCGCACCTCGCCTCCTCTCCGGCAGCTGCCATTTGCCTCAACAAAAACTCCCCAGCCTTTCTCCTGGATTCACGCCGCTTTCCACCATCCTTGTGGCGCAAGAGCTGTGGCGCACCATCAGTGTGGCCCCCTGTGGACAGAGACGCTAGATCGCTGTATAAGCTCGACAGCCTTGTGCGGGGAGCCGGGTAGGAACAGAGGGAGGTTGTTGTTAGATCAGCTCGGCCTCAAGCTGCGAGAACGATTACATCGCTCGGTATCAGGTAGGGATTGGACAAGCGACGTTGACTGCCTGTTGTGGCAAAGGATGCGCTTGTCGAAGGACTTGCGCTGATTATAAATATGTCACGCGAATCGAAGCCGAGCAACAAAGTTCGTACTTCCACGATGCTCGTGTGTGTCATCTAGAAAGACATGTCCCGCACACTTCAACGTTCAGAAATAGTGTGATTGTGAAGTGAACCAACCTGCGATCTCTTTCGTCGAGCATGTTGAGCAGTATCGCCGCGAGCTTCTTTCCTTCGTTGGTAGAAGCTCTTGGTTCCGATCCCTCTTCTCCTTGGAGCACATTTGTTAGCCTGAAATAGAGGGATAAGCACATTGAAATGAATGCACAAGAGATTACAGGTGGGGTAGAATCAGTAGTTCAACAAGCGTTCCATACGACGAGCACGCCACGCACCATTTAGTTGTCTGCGATGGCATGCTCACAGCGAAGGGAAATAAACTAGTTTGTCCCAAGGGTATGTAGTCACCGCAGACCGGAAGCAGCGCACACCTCACTTGTTGAGAGCAAGAGACGCCGAGCAACACAAGCAGAGAAGCAACCACACGACAAAACCCACCGGCGTTGCATCGCTTCACACCGGACACGCCACTGCTCAGACTCCACTCTTGCGCGTTTTAAGTCTCGTCCTTTGCTGGCCACGTAAGCTCTTAGACGACGGGCACCCTCGCCCTAGAGGTTGGGAGAGACCGAAGCCGGGGAACAACGTAGGGGTTCTGGTTTGGTGAGATTCGCGTGGACGACCAACTAAGAAGGAATCTGTATCTCGAATCATCACTATTTGCTGTAAGTGCAAGATCTCACGTTTCGACGAAAGACGACTCCCCCGGTTGTGCTTGCGTTTTGTGTATGGTGTCGGTCTCGTACGCAACACGGAAAGAACGTGCACCTAAAACTGAGACGCTCTACAAAACAATGCGTCAACACAAACAAGGCTGAAACCAAGATCGGACAACGTCTTCCCGTTGCAAGCCAACAATTATTTTGAATGCACCGTTCTGGAACACACCTGCAGCGCGACCATCCCGATCCCGCCTGTCCCTTCTCCCAGAAACACCTCCGGTTCGTGCCCCGTTGTTTCCCGCTTTTCTTCCTCGTGCTCGCCCACATGCCCGCCTCCCGCATGATTAGAATGTCTCACTGACGCCTTTCGAGCCCTCCGCTTGCTGCCCACGGCAAGGCCGGCTATGCTGTCGAGTTGTTCGCCGAGGTCTGCGTCAGCTTGAGCGAGCTGCAGGCGGACGGCGCGGGTTTCTTTCTCCCGCTTGAGGACGGCGTTTGCCCAGTCGTCTTGGAGAAGGATGGCGAGGGCGCGCGTCTTTTTGTCGAGTTCTCGTGCATGCCTCGCTGCCTGCGCGTGAAATGTGCGAAAGAATGGGGGTGGAAGTATTCTGCTAGAGTCTGGTCGGAAGTTGATCGATCCTCCACGAACAAAGTCAACACGTCAAGGCAAACAAGAGACAGAAGAAGCGATGGTGGCATCAGCCACACGTGCGGCTGTCGTGTGCTCGTACAAGAACCGTCGCGTTGGCCACAATTTTTTTTTATGTGCTCCAGCGACGGAGCCATGACCGTAGTACCGACTGAAACACCCAAACGTACGAACCCCGCGTCTGAATAGCACAAGTTGGTGGAATAGAAGTATTTCTGGTGGCCACGTATATTCGACCACGGTATGTGCCGCAAACGTTTATCGATCGCATTAAAGAAACACACCCATGACCGCCGGGACGCCTGAATACGGCGCAAACTGTGGTCTATTCCGGCGTGCACCAAAAATTGTATTTGAAACTTAATCGCAACTCAACAGTAGAGCAAATCGTGGCGTGGGTGGCACTAACGTAGCACTCCTGACCACGAACGTTGCAGGAACGAGCGCAAGGAAGCGGTTCGATAGTTCAACGACTTTGGCGCGCCAACTGTTCTTTACTTTAATCCCTGTGATCAATGTCCAGAATGAGCAGTGCTTTTCAGGTGGCTCAACGGGGGTTGCCTCTCACCAACCCCTGCAGACGCCGTAGCTGACGCTCTCGCGCTACCTCCTCCGTATCCTTGACCTTGAGCTTCAGCTCAGATGCCAATTCCAGCCCACGAGCGGCCTCCCGCTGTGCTTTCTCTCGTGCCTCAGCAACCTCCACGCTGGCGGCGGCCGCCTTTTTCCAAGCCTCAGCCTTGTCGGCGGCCGCTTTCGCCTCCTTCTCCATCGCCTCAGCTCGGGCAGCCCTAGCCGCAGCGGTAGCGCCGGCGGCCGCCCCCTCGGCGGCAGACAGCGATGCGGCGTGCAGACAGAGACGGCTCCACCCTCGGAACACGAGGGCCCTGCCTCTCTCATGGCACACGCGAGCAACCTAAAGGGAAAAGTGTCTTTAAGGCTGGTGCCAATAGCATAGTCGTGGATACGCAAAGTTCTTCATGTTGCTTAAAATACAACATTGGATCAACATCTGGCTTCCTAGGCTGAGATCGGTTGACCGACATATCTGTGCGTCTCACCAGCATCTTCAGACGGTGTAGTTGATGCTCCCGCGCCATCTTCCCTGCTTTCTCCCGTGCCTCAGCAACCTCCACGCTGGCGGCGGCCGCCTTTTTCCATGCCTCAGCCTTGTCGGCGGCTACTTTCGCCTCCTTCTCCATCGCCTCAGCTCGGGCAGCCCTAGCCGCAGCTGTAGCGGCGGCGGCACCCCCCTCGGCAGCAGACAGCGATGCGGCGTGCAGGCACAGCCGGCTCCAACCGCGGAACATGAGGGCCTTGTCACTCTCGCCACACACTCGAATTATCTTGGCAGGCAACGATGGGAGAAGGCGTAACGTGGGGTGGGACGGAAGGCAGTACTCGTTAGGTGCAGTGGGCTAAAGAAAAAACCTTTCCTCACTTGAGACACGGTACCGGTTCATGGCTTCCGGCAGTGTGTTTGTCTCAACCACCGGCAGTATGTTTGTCTCACCACCATATCGATATGGTGCTATACAAATCGGAGGGATTGGTCACAAGGCGATGTTCTCACCAGCATCTTTATTCGTCGTAGCTGGTGTTCTCGCACTACCTCCTCCGTGTCCTTGACCTTCAGCTGTAGCTCAGACGCCAATTCTGAACCACGAGAAGTTTCCCGTTGCGCCTGCTCCGTCGCCGCGGCCACCTCTGCGCTCGCCGCGGCCGCTCTCCTCGACGCCTCAGCCTTGTCGGCGGCCGCTTTCGCTTCCTTCTCCATCGCCTCAGCTCGGGCAGCTCTGGCCGCAGCGGTGGCGGCGGCGGCGGCCCCCTCGGTCGCAGACAGCGATGCGGCGTGCAGGCAGAGACGGCTCCACCCTCGAAACATGAGGGCCCTGTCTCTGTCGCCGCAGAAACGGATAACCTTGACGGTACGGATACAATGAATGGCGCCGGAGGGTGGGGTAGGGGAAGTCAGCCCGTGCACTACACAGCGAGACCACGTACGCTGTAACTGTGAGCATCAGATATCGTTTCGATAGTAGGACGACTCCAACCGGCAAGGAGCCCTCTTTCCATGCACCCGCCCCACCAAAATGGAATGGATAGAGTACCCACAAGCGGTAGTTCCACTGGGGTTGCCTCTCACCAACATCTTCAGGCGATGTAGTTGACGATCTCGCACTGCTTCCTCCGTGTCTTTCACCTTGAGCTTCAGCTCAGCAGCCAATACCGACCCACGGGCGGCCTCCCGTTGGGCTCTCTCTCGTGCCTCGGCAACCTCCACGCTGGCGGCGGCCGCTCTCCTCCACGCCTCAGCCTTGTCGGCGGCCGCTTCCGCCTCCTTCTCCATCGCCTCAGCTCGGGCAGCCCTAGCCGCAGCGGTGGCGGCGGCGGAGGCTCCCTCGGCGGCAGACAGCGATGCGGCGTGCAGGCAGAGACGGCTCCACCCTCGGAACATGAGGGCCCTGTCCCTCTCGCCGCACACGCGAGAGGTCTTGATTGGCAGCAGCGACAAGGAGGGGAATGTGGCGATAGTGAGAGCGGTGAGAGGAAACACAGGCGAGGCTTGCATGCCTGGATAATGTCGAGAGTACGACGTACGAGATTCATATACCTCTCGTCCCTACTCTCTATTTTCAACTGAAATATGCCCCGTATGCCGCAGAGTTGTCCAGTGGAGGCTGTCTCTCACCAGCATCTTCAGACGGTGGAGCTGATGCTCTCGCACTTCCTCCTCCGTGTCTTTGACCTTGAGCTGTAGCTCAGACGCCAATTCCGACCCACGGGCGGCCTCCCGTTGTGCTTTCTCTCGTGCCTCGGCAACCTCCGCACTGGCGGCGGCCGCTCTCCTCCACGCCTCAGCCTTGTCGGCGGCTGCTTTCGCCTCCTTCTCCATCGCCTCAGCTCGGGCAGCCCTAGCCGCAGCGGTGGCGGCGGCGGCGGCCCCCTCGGCGGCAGACAGCGATGCGGCGTGCAGGCAGAGACGGCTCCACCCTCGGAACATGAGGGCCCTGTCTCTCTCGCACACGCGAGCGATCTTGATAATCAGCAACGATTAGGAAGGAAGTGCGGCGATAGTGAGAGCGATGAGAGGAAGCACAGGCGAGGCGAGAACGTCTGGCTAACGGCAAGAGTAGTATACGATGCGCGAGACGTGAGAGGCCTCTCAATACTGTCTACTGGATTATTCTGCGTACCACGCCGTAGAGTTGTCCAGCGGAGGCTGTCTCTCACCAGCATCTTCAGGCGATGTAGTTGATGCTCTCGCGCTACCTCCTCCGTATCCTTGACCTTGAGCTGCAGCTCAGATGCCAATTCCGACCCACGGGCGGCCTCCCGTTGTGCTTTCTCTCGTGCCTCGGCAACCTCCACGCTGGCGGCGGCCGCTCTCCTCCAAGCCTCAGCCTTGTCGGCGGCCGCTTTCGCCTCCTTCTCCATCGCCTCAGCTCGAGCAGCCCTAGCCGCAGCGGTGGCGGCGGCGGAGGCCCCCTCGGCGGCAGACAGCGATGCGGCGTGCAGACAGAGACGGCTCCACCCTCGGAACACGAGGGCTCTGTCACTCTCGCCGCACACGCGAGTGATCTTGATAATCAACAACGATTAGGACGGGAGTGTGGCGACAGCAGTGAGAGCGGTGAGGGGAAGCACAGGCGAGGCTTGCACATCTAGATAAAGGTGAGAATAGATACGACGTACGAGACTCAGAGACTCCTCGTTCACCTCTACTGTATACTCGAAATATGCCACGTACGCCGCAGAGTTGTCCAGTGGAGGCTGTCTCTCACCAGCATCTTCAGACGGTGGAGCTGATGCTCTCGCACTACCTCCTCCGTGTCTTTGACCTTGAGCTGTAGTTCAGATGCCAATTCCGACCCACGGGCGGCCTCCCGTTGTGCTTTCTCTCGTGCTTCGGCAACCTCCACGCTGGCGGCGGCCGCTCTCCTCCAAGCCTCAGCCTTGTCGGCGGCCGCTTTCGCTTCCTTCTCCATCGCCTCAGCTCGAGCAGCCCTAGCCGCAGCGGTGGCGGCGGCGGAGGCCCCCTCGGCGGCAGACAGCGATGCGGCGTGGAGACAGAGACGGCTCCACCCTCGGAACTTGAGGGCCCTGTCACTCTCGCCGCACACGCGAGAGATCTTGATATGTAGCATCGATTGGGAAGGAAGTGCGGCGATAACGAGCGCGGTGAGGGGAAGCACAGGCGAGGATTGCACATCTGGCCAAATGGCGAGTGTAGTATACGATGTAGGGGACCCACAGGCCCCTCGCCCATCTCTACTATTGCCTACTCAAATATGCCAGGCATGCCCTGGGGTTTCCAGTGGAGGCTGTCTCTCACCAGCATCTTCAGACGGCGTAGCTGATGCTGTCGCAAGGCCTCCTCCGTGTCTTTGACCTTGAGCTGTAGCTTAGATGCCAATTCCGACCCACGGGCGGCCTCCCGCTGTGCTTTCTCTCGTGCCTCGGCAACCTCCGCGCTGGCGGCGGCCGCTTCCGCCTCCTTCTCCATCGCCTCAGCTCGGGCAGCCCTAGCCGCAGCGGTGGCGGCGGCGGAGACCCCCTCGGCGGCAGACAGCGATGCGGCGTGCAGGCAGAGACGGCTCCACCCTCGGAACATGAGGGCCCTGTCACTCTCGCCGCACACGCGAGTGATCTTGATAATCAACAACGATTAGGACGGGAGTGTGGCGACAGCAGTGAGAGCGGTGAGAGGAAACACAGGCGAGGTTTGTGTATCTGGTTTGTGTATCTGGCCAACGGTGGGGACGTGCAGTATACGATTACGAGACTTGAAGGCCTCTCATTTACTGCCTACTGAATATGCCACGTACGCCGCAGAGTTGTCCAGTGGAGGCTGTCTCTCACCAGCATCTTCAGACGGTGGAGCTGATGCTCTCGCATTGCTTCCTCCGTGCCTTTGACCTTGAGCTGCAGCTCAGATGCCAATTCCGACCCACGGGCGGCCTCCCTTTGTGCTTTCTCTCGTGCCTCGGCAACCTCCGCGCTGGCGGCGGCCGCTCTCCTCCAAGCCTCAGCCTTGTCGGCGGCCGCTTTCGCTTCCTTCTCCATCGCCTCAGCTCGAGCAGCCCTAGCCGCAGCGGTGGCGGCGGCGGAGCCCCCCTCGGCGGCAGACAGCGATGCGGCGTGCAGGCAGAGACGGCTCCACCCTCGGAACACGAGGGCCCTGTCCCTCTCGCCGCACACGCGAGCGATCTTGATTTTCAGCAACGATTAGGACGGGAGTGTGGCGACAGCAGTGAGAGCGGTGAGGGGAAGCACTGACGAGAATTGTGTATCTGACCATCGGCGAGACGTATACGATACACGAGACTTGAAGACCTCTCAATACTGTATACTCGAAATATGCTGCGTATGCCGCAGAGTCGTCCAGTGGAGGCTGTCTCTCACCAGCATCTTCAGACGGCGTAGCTGATGCTCTCGCACTACCTCCTCCGTGTCTTTGACCTTGAGCTGTAGCTCAGACGCCAATTCCGACCTACGAGCGGTCTCCCGTTGTGCTTTCTCTCGTGCTTCGGCAACCTCCACGCTGGCGGCGGCCGCTCTCCTCCAAGCCTCAGCCTTGTCGGCGGCCGCTTTCGCTTCCTTCTCCATCGCCTCAGCTCGGGCGCTCCTGGCCGTAGCTGTGGCGGCGGCGGCGGCCCCCTCGGCGGCAGACAGCGATGCGGCGTGCAGGCAAAGCCGGCTCCAACCGCGGAACATGAGGGCCCTGTCACTCTCGTCGCACACTCGGATTATCTTGGCATGCAGTAATGGGAAAATACGTAGCGTGTGGGGGGAGTGATGAGCACAAAGGTCGAGGGGGCTTGTGTATGCAGTTGGCAGTGAGAGTACAACGTGCAAAACAATAGACGAGACGAGAAACACCACTCTACACTGCTCCCATATACCGTATACCCTACTGTACTGAAACCTGCCATGTACGCGCGGAGGTATACAACAGCGGCTGCTTCTCACCAGCATTTTCGTTCGGCGTAGCTGGTGCTGTCGCAATGCCTCCTCCTTGTCTTGGATGTTGAGCTGTAGCTCAGACGCCAACGTTGACCCACGAGCGGCCTCCCGTTGTGCTTTCTCTCGTGCCTCGGCAACCTCCACGCTGGCGGCGGCCGCTCTCTTCCACGCCTCGGCCTTTTCGGCGGCCGCTTCCGCCTCTTTCTGCATCGCCTCAGCTCGGGCAGCCCTGGCCGTAGCGGTGGCGGCGGCGGAGGCCCCCTCGGCCGCAGATAGCGACGCGGCATGTAGACAGAGTCGACTCCAACCACGGAACAAGGATCTCTTGTCCGTGTCGCCATATGCTCGAGAAATCTGAGAAGGAAGTAACGAGGCGACGAAGAACCATACTTTGTATTCCGCAGCGAGACAACCGTTTGGAGCTTGTGGTGCGCGGAACTAGCATTCAAGAACCTGTCGCGCGAGCGCGTTGGTGTTCCTGTCCCTATGGTGGGTGTTCGTGTCCCTATTGGGCTTCAATTTAATTGCACCTTCACCGACCGGGCTCTATCTTCACCTTCGCCACTGCCCTAAGTCGCTTCAGCTCCTTCTCCCGATTGCTTCGCTCAAACCCCTCCTCTTCGACGGCGTCAATCGACGAAATGGCCTTTGCGGACCCCTTACCCTCTACGTCGACCTCAACAGCCCTTGCAGCCGGTGTTGCCGCTGCAGATGATCCCTCAGCCGCGTTGAGCGAGACGAAGTGCGAACACAGGCGACCCCAGCTACGGAACATGAGGCGCCGGTTTCTATCGCCAAGCACTCTGGCCACCTGAACGTTCGGGGAGTATCGAAGTGCGGGAAACCTTCGTTGGAGCCAATGTCGCGAGGCCCATTGTGATCGACATCCCGCTTTTCAAAGGGTGGTAGAACGAGGTAGACCATGTTGGCCCAATGCAGTCGCACTGCTGCAAATGCCAGCAGGTGCCGATCAAAGCGTAACCTTAATACACAATTGAATACATGCGTGGGAATGCATCTTGGTAGAACACACGGAGTGATACTCACGTACACCTCGTCTTGACATCGAGCAAACGTAGACCTCGTCTTGACATCGAGACCAGGTCTATTCGTCACCAAGAACAGTTCTGACTACCCAGCTCTCCTTGTATACTAATTCGACGGGCGATCTAATACTCGTCGTCGATGGCGAGCCGAAGCTCTTGTGGTACACGAATGATCAGCGAAAGTCTGGGAGAAAACAGCAACACAGGGACAACCGGCCTGTGGGGGGTCTCAAGGGCATATCGATTTCGAGGATGTCCGTCGGCCCATCAAACGCTTCAACATGCGGTGCACGCTACAGCGGATAAAGCTACCAGCGTGGCTGTGTGGTGGTCTCGGTCTGTGAATGGCGTTCCCTACCGTCTCTGCTCTCCTGAAACGTTCGACGAATCGTTCAGCCAACGACCTCTCGCAGTATTCTGTTTTCACAGACACAGCGACGTGCTAAAACAGAGGCAAAACGGCGTGACGCTTCGTGTACGATATGCAGGACGGCGCCTCCCCTGAATTTCGCTGCTGACCTAGGGCAAATCTACGAACCGTCGTCGCCTCAAAGATGTTTCTGCTACGTTCGACGTCAGTGAAGCGTCAAGGTCAGGACTTGGTCTAGATGAGGGAGTTTTTAAGTCACGCAACGTGTACTCACCACTCGAGCGGCTAGCTGTCGTTTTTGGTTGTCGACGGCCTTTTCAGCTTCCTCTGCTCTCTTCACAAGGGTCGCCGGCATCACCGACTCTCCGTCGGCCTTTTCCGATGCCTTGGCTTGTTCTGCAGGTGCATGTTCTGACTTCTGCATGACATCCGACCTGGCTATCGCTTCCGCGGCCTTCGATGACCCCTCGGCGATGTGGAGAGGCGCCGAGTGTCGGCAGAGCTGACTCCAACCGTGGAAGAGAAGTCGTCTGTTGTAGTCCCGACCTGCGCTGCAGATCTGCGGTCGGGCCGAGATTGAAACACACACTCAACGTGAGATTCATGGGTATGATAGATGGAGTCCGACAACAAGACCGCTACCCTGTTGCCATTTCATCGATTGTCAGTGCGTCCGGGTGCGGGCGTAGAGATGTTTTGGCACCACCCTACTTTTCCCTGTCGATTGGTGGTGGAGAAAGCGAACTGGGTTGCCAGCCCAACCACACTTACCATATGCAATGCCCTCCTCTCCCTCTGGTCTCTCGCTTCCGACTCCGCCGCTGCCACGCGTTGCCGAACCACGGCGGCGTCTGTCTCGATTCCGGCGGCCGTTGCAGCTGCAGCGGCCTGCGTCGCTTCCGCCTCCGCTCTGGCCGCCCTCGCGGCTGCGGTGGCCGTCGCCGATACGGCATCGGCGGCGTTGAGAGACGCGGCGTGCAAGCACAACCGGCTCCACCCTCGGAACAGCAAGCGCCTGTCTTTGTCCTTGCAGACTCGAGATATCTGGGGCGTAGAAGCGACGAGAGCAAGACGGCGTGGTCCGCATGACGTGTGGGTGCAGCGTGGGCCAGGTCCGCAATGTACTTCACAAAGGCTCGATGGTTGCACTCCTACAGGTCATCCGTGTGATATCGATTCACATCCCAGCAATATTCCGAATAGACGACGGCTCGCGTGGCTCTCGTAATGGAAGCCGACGCGGTCCACGCGGCACGTCCGAGGCTCCATGAACTCAGCTTGCTTCGTACGATCATGAATAGAGCGTCAACGACACCCTCTCATATGCGTAGGAGTTGCATTTTGTGTTAGAAACAAAAACGGAGGCAAATGGCTCCAGCGTGCGCTTGGAGGGAATGGGCTCTACAAACCGGTTGCAGTTCCAATCGAGGTTTGAGTCGTGTCGGTTTCAACTTCGACAGTCACATGCGCCAAGCGCATGGTGTCTCACGGTTGTCCTCGCCCGAACCCGGTTCGTCTCCTGCTCCTCCTCGCGGCTCCGCTCTGTCGACGTTTTCGCTTCGACCGCGTCGGTCGACGAAGCTGCTGCCGCTGCGGCCCCCGTTTCCTGAGCCTCCACCCTCACCGCCCTTTCAGTGGGTGCTGCCGCTGCAGGTGACCTCTCCACCGCGGCGAGCGAGGCTGGATGCGAACGGAGGCGCCCCCAGCTGCGGAATAGGAGGCGGCGGTTCCTATCGCTGAGCACTCTAGCAACCTAGCGGTGCGGGAGGGGAGTGAAAGTACGACATGTGTCATGCTGAAGCCAGATCTTCAATGGCTATCTTTCGTCGGTATCGCGAACTACAGAGGGTCGTGGCAACAGCTCGATTCAAAAGGTGCATTGCAGCCACCTCTGTGCAGCCGCAGCACGATATCGCCATGAGCAGGCATCGCAATGGGTGCACGATGTTGGAGGTGAGATCGTCGTATTCTTGCTGTCATAATTCAGCATGCTGTTCACGAGAACATCAACATGTTCACATGTTCTGGCCTTGTCCTGACATACCACCTCTCCCACTTGTCGTGGTCCTCCTCGCTGTGTTCACGTTTTCAACGCGGTTTTGGCCTTTCCGATCTTCTCCGTAATCCCTCGACCGACGCATGATCTATCATCCATGGTCGGCGGGGAGACAAAAGCTCTTGTGGCACACGAACGACGTGCGAAAGTGCTGAAAGAACTTGCAACACAAGGACAGCCTGCCTGTGAGGGCCTCGAGATTGCATCGATATGCGAGGATGCCCGTCGGCCCACCTCAAAAACAACATGTGGCGCAAGCAACAGCGGATGAAGCTGTCAGATGATGGCTGTGTGGTGGTCTCGATCTTGTGCACGGCTTTCTCTACCAACGGGTCGCGGTTGAAACATGCGCTCAACGTGAGATCGTGGATATGACGGGCGGGGTCGGCCAACAGGACCGCTACACTACTGGCACATCATCGATTGCTCTTGAGTCCGCGTACGAGCGCAGAGATGTTTGACATCACTCTACCATATCCCGTCGTAGGTGAAGATCACACAACGGCCGACTGATAGCACCGTGTGCTAGCGAAAATCCACTTCTCCTGCATGGTTTCGAAATCAGGGAAGAGACGATACACCGTGCTCCGATAGACCCAGCTTCAATAGTGGTCACATGCGAAATGTGGAGATAGTCAAACACCTCACCATCTGCAATGCCCTCCGCTCCCTCTGGTCTCTCGCTTCCGACTCCGCCGCTGCCACGCGTTGCCGAACCACGGCGGCGTCTGTCTCGATTTCGGCGGCCGTTGCGGCTGCAGCGGCCTGCGTCGCCTCCGCCTCCGCTCTGGCGGCCCTCGCCGCTGAGGTTGCCGTCGCTGATACGGCATCGGCAGCGTTGAGAGACGCGGCGTGCAAGCAGAGCCGGCTCCACCCTCGGAACAGCAAGCGCCTGTCTTTGTCTATGAAAACTCGAGATATCTGGGCGTACGAGCGACGGAAAGCATGATGTACGGGTGCGGTGTGGTTCGAGTCCGTATGCTTGACTGAGGTTCGATAGTTACATTCCACGGGTACCCGTGTAATGTCGACTCACACCTCAGCAGCATGTCGGAATAGACGACGGCTCGGGGTGATTTTCGTGATGGTAGCCGAGGCAGTCCACGTGGTACATCCAAGGCCCCATGAACTCAGGTTGCTCCGCATACAAGCGACCATGGATGGAGGGTCAACGACAGGCGATTTGAAAGTATCCGTATCGTGGTGTTGCCCTTGTTGGTCTATGAGCACCATCGCGCTGACTCCGATTTTGTCATTGCGGCGTTGTTCGAACATCTCGGTGTGGCATGAGACGGTACCCCTCATTCAAACATGGCCCGATATGCCGCTAGATGGCTCTCAACGTCGTTTCACTCGGTGTGCTGCCCAGGATACCCAACGAGTTGACATTTCTATTGAAGCACATGGTGAAATGGCCCAACCGCACGACGGGCCGAGATATGTTCTACACACATGTTTCAAACCCAGTCAGCTGTTCGCCTTCAACTTCTGTATTCACACATCTCCGTATATACTAAGGCAGCCGGTGATCGATCACCCGTTGTCCGCAGGAACTAGGTCTCGTGTGGCAGACGAATGGTTTGCGAACGCACTGGGAGAAATTTCAACACAAGTACAGCCTGCCTGTGCGGGTACCGAGAGCTTATCGATATGTGACGACGCCCGTCGGCCCTTCAAACATCTCGAAAACAACTTGTTGGTGCGAGTTACAGCGGATAAAGCCACAAGCCAGTGGCTGTGTGGTGGTCCTGGTCTTGTGCGTGGATTTCTCTACCACAGTCTCTACTCCTAAAACGCGCGACGAGCAACCAACGAGTTTATCTTCTCAGACACTGCCGCGTGCCCCTGGGCATAACCGTGTGATGACATGAAGGATACGGTTTCTCTGAACTTTTGCTGACCTAGCACTGCTTGAAAGGGCAAGTTCTACAGTCTTCCATCATCTCTCAGGCGTTTCTGTGACTGCCGACGTCATCAAAGCCTCCCGGCCAGGACTTCCTGACACCTGAGTCAAACGGTTGTTCCATTCCATGCAAGGGTGTACTCACCGTTCGAGCGGCTAGCTGCCTGCTTTGCTCGTCGACTGCCTTTTCAGCTTCCTCTGCTCTCTTCACAAGGGTTGCCGCCATCACCGAGTCCCCGTCGATCTGATCCGAAGCCTTGGCTCCTCCTGCCGGTGTATGTACCGTCTTCTCCAAGACATCTACCCTAGCGACTTGAGGTTCTGCAGGATAAGCATCCGCCGAAAGTCCTTCTGCGCCACCTATGAATGCAGCGTGTCGGCAAAGCCGACTCCAGCCGTGGAAGAGAAGGCGTCTGTTGTGGTCCCGCCCTGTGCTGCAGATCTGCAGTCGGGTCACGATTGAAACACACGCACCCAACGTGAGACTCATGGATATGGTCCACGGGGTCGGACAACATCGAGGCCGATGCTCCACTACCACGTCATCGGTTGCCAGTGGGACCGAGCATGTGTGTAAGAGTTTTTGGCACCACTCTACCATACCCCGTCGTACGCGTATATCACACAAAGGCCGACTGACGGCACCGTGCGTTAGCGAAAATCCACTTCTCCTGCATGGTTTCGACGTCGTAGGAGAGACATGCACCGCGCTCCGATAGACCCAGCTGCCATGGTGATGGAGAAAGCGAACTGGGTTGCCAGCCCAACCACACTTACCATATGCAGTGCCCTCCGCTCCCTCTGGTCTCTCGCTTCCGACTCCGCCGCTGCCACGCGTTGCCGAACCACGGCGGCGTCTGTCTCGATTCCGGCGGCCGTTGCAGCTGCAGCGGCCTGCGTCGCTTCCGCCTCCGCTCTGGCGGCCCTCGCCGCTGCGGTGGCCGTCGCCGATACGGCATCGGCGGCGTTGAGAGACGCGGCGTGCAAGCACAACCGGCTCCACCCTCGGAACAGCAAGCGCCTGTCTTTGTCCTTGGAAACTCGGAGCATCTGGGCGTGGAAGCAACGAGAGCAAGGCGGCGTGGTCCGCATGACGTGCGGGTGCAGCGTGGTCCGAGTCCACAACGTTCTTCACTGAGGTTGTCAATGGTTGTTTTTATAAGGCAATGGTTGTTTTTCTATGGCATCCGTGTGATAACAACATATCCAATAGACACCGGCTCTCGTGATGGGAACCGACGCGTTCCACTCTTGTCCGAGGCATGTTGTCTCCGCATACCACCAGCGACCATGGATGGAGTGCCAAAGACAACCTCTCACAGGAGTTGAGCTATATACTCAAGCGTGCGCTTGGCGGGGGTGTGCTCTACAAACCGATTGCAGTGCCAATCGAGCTATGAGCTGAGCCATTCCACGTTCCAAGGCCCCAAGCTTGGATGGTGTCTCACCGTGGTCATCGCCCTATGCCGCTGCAGCTCCTGCCCCTGCTCACGGCTCCGCCCAGTCGACACTTCCGCTTCGATCGCGTCGGTCGACGAAGCTGCCGCTGCGGTCCTCTTTTCCTCGGGCTCCACCCTCGCCGTCCTTACAACTGATGCTGCCGTTGCAGGTGCCCTCTCCGCCGCGGCGAGTGAGGCGGCGTCCGAACGGAGGCGACCCCAGCTGCGGAATAGGAAGCAGCGGATTCTATCGCCGAGCACTCTAGTAACCTGGCAGTGTCGGAGGGGAGTGAACGTACGGGATGTGTCATGGTGTGAAAGGACACGTGTATCTACCACCGGCATCCTAGGGTTAGGTTGGTTCGGGAACTGTAGGCGCGTTTGTCCTGACAAGGTGTCGCAGTAGGTATACGACGACGAATGGAGGCGACCATGTCCTTGCTGTGCAATCTACAGGAACTGCACGAGACTATACCCGGGTGATATCACGACATCAGGCCCTGCTCCAATTGTCTCGTGAAAACCATTCTGACCTTTTTTGCGGATATTCTTTTTTCCACGTATCAAACCAAGGTATGATATACCATCCATAATCGACGGCGAGCCCAAACGATTGTGCCAGACGAACGGTTTGCGAAAGTAAAGAGTAAGGGTCCCGATACTATATTGAGTTGCGACAACAACCGTCGGTCATTCAACCAAGAAGCACTCAGCGTTCTTTTTACACAGAACCTGCGATGTGCTGCTCCTTTAGAGGCAGAGCTGCGTGAAGCTAATATTCCACACGACGAACGGTGTCTCCGGGAGCTCTGTTGTCTGTTGACCTAGCAGTGCCTGAAAGGGGAAGTTCTGCAATCGTCCATCGCCTATCGGGTGTTTCTGTGAAGGCCGACAACATTGGAGCCTCGTGGCCAGGACTCTACCCATCTGCGTCTAGACGGTTGCTCAACCCATGCAAGCGTATGCTCACCATTCGAGCGGCTAGCTGTCGTCTTTGGTCATCGACCGCCTTTTCAGCTTCCTCTGCTCTCTTCACAAAGGTCGCCGCCATCACCGACTCCCCGTCGAGCTTTTCCACTCCCTTGGCTCCTTCCGCAGGTTTGGCAGATGCATGTACCTGCTTCTCCATGGCATCCGCCCTAGCGGCTTGAGCTGCTGCAGGCTCGGCATCTGACGAAATTCCATCTGCGCCGCCTTTTCCTGCAGCGTGTCGGCAGAGCCTACTCCAACCATGGAAAAGAAGCCGTCTGTTGTAGCCCCGACCTGCGCTGCAGATCTGCAGTTGGGCCACGATAGGAACACGCGCTCAACGTGAGACTGATGGACACGATGGGTGAGGTAGGACAACAGCGCCGCTACACCACCGCCACCGCCACTTCATCGATGGGCGTGAGATATTTGACACCACTCTACCGTACCCCGTCGTAGGTGTAGAATACACAAAAGGCTGACTGATGGCATATTCCGCTAGCGAAAGCCCACTTCTCCTGCATGGTTTCGACGTGGGGGAATAACGTGCACCGTCCTTCCATAGACCCAGCTGCCATGGTGATGGAGAAAGCGAACTGGGATGCCAGACCAACCACACTTACCATATGCAGTGCCCTCCGATCCCTCTGGTCTCTCGCTTCTGACTCCGCCGCTGCCACGCGTTGCCGAACCACGGCGGCGTCTGTCTCGATTCCGGCGGCCGTTGCAGCTGCAGCGGCTGCCGTGGCTTCCGCCTCCGCTCTGGCGGCCCTCGCCGCTGCGGTGGCCGTCGCCGATACGGCATCGGCGGCGTTGAGAGACGCGGCGTGCAAGCACAACCGGCTCCACCCTCGGAACAGCAAGCGCCTGTCTTTGTCCTTGGAGACTCGAGATATCTGAGCGTAGAAGCGGCGAGAGCAAGACGTCACGGCCCGCAAGGAGTACGGTTGCGGCGTGGGCCCAGGTCCGTAACGTTCTTTGCTGAGGCTCAATGGATGCATTCCTTGGGCATCCGTGTGATGTCGACTCATACCCCAGCAACATATCGGAATAGACGACGGCTCGCGTGACCTCTCGTGATGGTAGCCGACGCGGTCCATGCCATAATATCCGAGGCCCTATGACCTCAGGTTGCTCCGAATACAAGCGAATATGGATGGAGTGTCAACCACCCTGCTGTCATAAATAGTGTTTTCCTCAAAGGGTTTCGCTAGATAATCTAATGGAACTATCACGCTGACTTCGTTTCTCCCAAACGCTTGCAATCGTTGTTTGAACGTTGCAGCTTGGCTTGAGACGATTCGTTTTGTTCGCACAGGGGCCGATACGACATGGATAGTCCTCAACCACGATCGTGTCACCCGATGAACTAACTGCCCAGGGTACCCAACGAGTTACATTTTATTTTCTTGAAACTGAGGCAAATGGCTTAAGCACACGCTGGGCGGGCATGCGCCCTAAGAAACAAGCTGCTGTTCCTATCTAGCTATGAGCCGTGTGGGCTTCTACTTCTACTTCACATACCCCAAGTGGATGATGTCTCACCGTGGTCAATGCCCTATGCCGCTGAAGCCCCTGCTCCTCCTCACGTCTCCGCTCAGTCGACCCTTCCGCTTCGACAGCGTCGGTCGACGAAGCTGCTGCTGCGGTCTCCTTTTCTTGGACCTCCACCCTCGCCGCCCTTGCAGCTGGTGTTGCCGCTGTAGATGCTCCCTCCACCGCGTCGAGCGAGGCGGCATGCAAGCACAAGCGACCCCAGCTGCGGAATAAGAGGCGCCGATTTCTATCTCCGAGCACTCTAGCAACCTAGAAGGCCGGGAGGCGTGTGAAAGTATCGAGTATGTTCAGCCAAAGGACGATCCGCATCTACCATCGTCGTCCCGCAGCGGATCGTAGACTACAGGTCTGAAACAGTAGGTACGTTCTCGCTCACGGGGTGCGCCACAATGGTTTCACGATGACAACGGGAGGTAAAATCGGCTTGTTATACTACGTTCAGGGTGTTCTTCAAGATCCAAATCCGGACCTTGTCCTGATCTAGAGGCCAGCTATCTATCTCTGCTACCATTGTTGTGGTTGCCGTGTGCACGTTGGCAGCTGTTCTGGCATATTCCCTCTACCTTATCTCCTGTAGTTACGTATTCGGTGTATCACCTGTGAGAGTGCATATGGATTTGCGAGGACGTTTGAAACGCCTCGAAAAATACAACGCGGAGGATGCCCGAAACGCCTCAAAAAATACAACGTGGTGGATGCTTCAAGGTGGACAAAGCTTCCAGGAACTGCCTATGCACCAGTTTCGGCCTTGCGCATGGCGTTCTACTGACTCCGTCACATAATCCTGACACTTTTGGCATGTCGTTCAAGCTACGACACAACGCATCAGGAGCACCTTCGCAAACGCGTGCCGGATTCCGCCTTCACCGACACTGCCTCATGCTCTTGTAGAGGCAGAGCTGTTTGGTACTACACGGTAGAGGACGGCGCCTCCTCTGAATTTCGCTGCTGGTCTAGGGCGAAATCTACGGACCTCGTCGCCTTTCAGATATTATTGTAACGGCCGACGTCACCGAAGCGTCACCGTCAGGGTTCAACGATATCCCCCCGAGTCCCACCTGGCCAGCAAACTCTTTAGATTAATTCATTCAAGGACATGCTCACCAATCGAGCGGCTAGCTGTCGTTTTTGGTTGTCGACAGCCTTTTCAGCTTCCTGTGCTCTTTTCACAAGGGTCGTCGCCATCACCGAGTCCCCGTCGACCTTTTCCGATGCCTTGGCATGTTCTGCAGGTGAGTGTGTCGGCTTCTCCATGACATCCGGCCTGGCTATCGCTTCCGCGGCCGTCGATGACCCCTCGGCGATGTGGACAGACGTCGCTTGTCGGCAGAGCCGACTCCAACCGTGGAAGAGAAGGCGTCTGTTGTAGTCCCGACCCGCGCTGCAGATCTGCGGCCGGGCCAACATTTGAAACAAACACTCAACGTGATATTCATGGGTACGATGGAATGGGATCCAGTCGATTGGTGGTGAACAGAGTGAAGGCGATGCCAGCCCAACCACACTTACCATATGCAGTGCCCTCCGCTCCCTCTGGTCTCTCGCTTCCGACTCCGCCGCTGCCACGCGTTGTCGAACCACGGCGGCGTCTGTCTCGATTCCGGCGGCCGTTGCGGCTGCAGCGGCCTGCGTCGCTTCCGCCTCCGCTCTGGCGGCCCTCGCCGCTGCGGTGGCCGTCGCCGATACGGCATCGGCGGCGTTGAGAGACGCGGCGTGCAAGCAGAGCCGGCTCCACCCTCGGAACAGCAAGCGTCTGTCTTTGTCCTTGGAAACTCGGAGCATCTGGGCGTGGAAGCAACGAGAGCAAGACAGCGTGGTCCGCATGACGTGCGGGTGCAGCATAGTCCGAGTCCACAACGTTCTTCACTGAGGTTGTCAATGGTTGTTTTTCTTGGTCATCCGTGTGATAGTAACATATCTCAACAACATATCGGAATAGACGACAGCTCGCGTCGACCCGGTCCATGGGGTATATTCGAAGCCTCTCAAACTCTTGCACGCGTAAATCGGACGTCTTGGCTTGGATTGAGGGTGTTCGCTAGGTTCAAACACGCCGGATAACTCCCAACGTCATTACCTTCGATGTGCCGCCCAGGTTACCCAAACATTTGCATGCTGTTTGAGAAACCGACATAAACTTTTCGACCGTGTGCTGGGCGGGGGGGGTGTTCTACAAACCAGGTTGTACTTCCTATTGTATAGTCGGTGCGGATTGTTAGAAGCAAATATTGGAGATGGTGAGACATCCTGAGGCGACCGGTGGTCCCGCCTGCGTCTTGCGGTCGTTCTTTTGAACATCGACCTAAACCCACGTTGTGTTGAGACTCAACCACCGCTTACGCCATTCCAATAGCATGTGCTGGAGCATGCCGAACAAGCAGCCTCAAGCGCTGGAAATAACGGCAATTCGGAAACGCACGCCAGAATACCCGTCATCGCGCTTACGCGTAGCCCCCACTACCCTAGAGCCAGTGGTAACTCCAACGTAGCGCTCAGGCTTCGTGTAATCCAATCTCCTGTGCGCATGATCTCATCCACCGCCGTACCCACGAGAAACTGATTCCCCAAGCCCCCTACTCCAGTTGAGCAACTTCTACGTTTACATGCCCCAAGCGGGTGGTGTCTCACCGTGGTTGTTGCCCTCAGCCGTTTCGGCTCTTGCTCCTCCTCACGGCTCCGCTCGGTCGACGATTTTGCTTCGATCGCGTCGGTCGACGAAGCTGCCGCTGCGGTCCTCATTTCCTTGGCCTCCACCCTCGCCGCCCTCACAGCTGGCGTTGCGGCTGCAGATGCCCCCTCCACCGCGTTGAGCGAGGCGGCGTGCGAACACAGGCGACCCCAGCTGCGGAAGAGGAGACGGCGGTTCCTATCCCGGAGCACTCTAGCAACCTGGCCGTGTGGGAGAGGCGTGAAAGTACAAAAGAACATGCCATGTTGGAAGTCAGCACACAACGTGTATCAATCATCAATATCCACCTCTTTTTGCAACTATTATTGTCGCTGCGTTGACGTTTTCAACCGTTCTGGCCTTTTGCCCAGTCCTTGCTGGTACACACCTCACTGGTGAGGATGAATAGCTGTTGTCGAAAGTGAGCCCAAACTCTTCAGGCAGACCAAACGTTTGTGAAAGTGTTGGGAATAATTGCAACACGAGTCCAGTCTGACTACGAGGGTCTCGCTAGAGCTCTTCGTGCATGTCATATCGTTTCTAGGGCGCAGGTCGAGCATACGAACGTCTTAAAAGAAAACGTGTGATTCGTCTGCCGTGAACATGGCTGTCAGCCAGTGTTTGAATGCTGGTCTAGGCCTTCTGCATGGGTGTCTCTGCCGTCTCTCTACGCATGCCTGAACGTTTGACAAATCCTTCAGGATAGCAACAAGTCCGACAGAAGCGCCTTCAAACCCTTGCGACATTCGTTCTACAGAAACAATGCGACGTCCTCCTGCAGAGACCGATCTGTGAAAGCTAGTACACGACTCGGTAGCGGCGCCTCGCTAGAACATGGCTGCTGACCTAATCCCGCATGTAAGAGAAAAATCTACAAATTTCCACCATCTCTCAAGTGTTGCTGTTCCAGCGAACGTCACTGAAGATTCGCTGTCAGGACTCTCAAGACACCTGAGCTTGGGGCGGTTGCTCATGCTACCGTGTACTCACCATTCGAACGGTCTGTTGTCGTCTTTGCTCGTCGACTGCCTTTTCAGCTTCCTCTGCTCTCTTTTCAAGATCCGCCGCTACCATCGAATCCTCGTGGCCCTTTTCCGATACCTTAGCTCGTTCTGCAGGTGTTGGTGCCTGCTTCTCAACTGCATCCGCCTTGGCCACGCGAGCCGCTTCCGCCGCAGCAGCTGAGACGTCGTCTATGGCACCCACGGAGGCAGCGTGTAGGCAGAGCCGGCTCCAAGAGCGGAATAGAGACCTCCTGTCTCTATCGCCGCATACGCGTGTTATCTGAAACACGTCCCCACATATTTTAGGTATGCGTACAATGGGTGTTTCACGGAAAAGGAAATGGTTATTTTCAGGCAAAATAGTGGGAACCATCGACGGAGCGCCATCGAACCAATGTCTCTGAATCTGTGTGTCACCGCGTACGCGGAAAACTGACGTGTATGGTGAGAGCAGGGGTGAACAGCGGTGATGTCCGCTGTGCGTGTAAACAATGTGACCCCACTTCACTTCAAGTCTTCGACAGACAATTTACCCCAGAGTACACGTAATACTCATGCTGCTCACGCAAAGTGATTTTTCTTTCCACCTCACTCGCCGCAGTGGACGGCAGTTCTTACCAAGATCTTTATCCACCGAAGCTGATGCTCTCGTAATATCGCCTCCATGTCTGTGATCTTGTGCTGTAGCTTAGCCACCGAGTTTGACCCTCGAGCCGTCTCCCGTCGCGCCTGTTCCCTCGCTGCCGCCACATTCTCGATTTCATCTTCCGCTCTCCTCGATACCTCAGTCTTATCTGTGGCCTCTTCAGTCTCCATTTCCATCGCCGTCGATCGGGTGGCCCTGGCCGCAGAGGTGGTGGCGGCGGAGGCTCCCTCGGCGGCAGATGCAGCGTGCAGGCAAAGACGGCTCCAACCGCGAAACAAGAGAGCCCTGTCTCTCTCACCGCACACGCGAGTGATCTTGACGGTCGGATACATTGAATACAGGGCCGGGACGTAGGGAGGGGGTAGTCGGCCACAGCAACTTGCGTACAAGTTGGCACTAACACTTTGTGTATCTTCGTTGCGAATACGACCACTAGACAGTTCCATTATTCGAGTATTTCTACGAGTTCAGCGGTGAATGGCCCTCTTGCTGATTTTCTGTCCCGCCAATATTGGATATCCAGAGGACTGTACAGATTTCGCAACAGGTGTTCTCACCAATCCTTTCACCCGGCGTAGCTGGTGCTCTTGCACTGTTTGCTCTATCTTTTTGACCTTCAGCTCCAGGTCGGCCATCAACTTTGACCCGAAAGCAGTTTCCCGTGGTGAAGCGGCGGCCGCTTCCGCCTCCTTCTGGGCTGCATCAGCTCGGGCGGCCCTGGCCACAGCAGTGGCAGCGGCGGATGCCCCCTCGGCAGCAGAGAGCGATGCGGCGTGAAGGCAGAGACGGCTCCACCCCCGAAACATGAGGGATCGATTCCTCTCTCGACACATGCGCGTGATCTAGGCAGTTGTGGGAAAAAATCGGGGGTTGTAGCGGGGGAAAGTGAGCTGGTATCTGAAGCGTGCCTGAGCACCAACATTCATCGTACGGCCTTTTCCCGCTGTTGCACAGCTACAGACTTTCCCAGATCGGATGGATGTGCTCACCAATCGCTTCATCCGTTCGAGGCGATGTTCCCACTCCCTTGGCACCTTCCCTGGCGTTTCCACCAAAGCAGTACTACCGGCTGCCGCTCCTGTCTCTTCCTCCATCGCCCGGCCTCGGGCACTGTCGGCCATAACTGCGGCGGCGGCAGCCCCCTCAGCCGTGGACAGCGTTGCAGCGTGCAGGTACAGTCGGTTCCAACCGCAGAACATGGAGGCCCTGTCTCGTTCACGGCATACGCGGGTGATCTTGACACGCAAGAAGGACCAGGAGGGGGATGTGGGGTGGGATGAAGTGGTAGGCAGCAACATGGGCGAGGCTTGCACATGCGGCTAACAGTGAGGGTGCGACGAGCGAGGCTGACGGGCCAGACGAGGAACGCCCCTTCTCTTCTACGCACAGAGTCATCCTAAACTCGGCTGAAATGTGTCATATACGTGATAGAGTTTTCCAGTGGAGGCTGCGTCTCACCAGCATCTTCGTTCGGCGTAGCTGATGCTCTCGCGCCCCATCTTCAGTGTCTTTGATGGTGCGATGGTGCTCAGCCGCCAACACACTGGCGGCTTCCCGCTGCGCGTGCTCCCTTGCAATGGCAACCTCCGCACTGACGTTGGCCGCTCTGCTAGGATTCTCAACCGTTTCGGTAGCCTCCTCTGCCTCTTTCTCCATCACCTCAGGTCGTGCAGCCCTAACCGCAGCTGTGGCGACGGCGGAGGTCCCTTCGGCAGTAGACAGCGACGCGGCGAGGCAAAGGCGGCTCCAACCGCGGAAAATTAAGCGCTTTGCTCTGTCCCGGCAAACGCGGCCCATCTGAGAAAGACGGACAACATGCGAGTGGCAGCAGGGTCTATGGACGAAGTTGCTTCGTTTCGAAACGAACCACATCGCGAATCCAACTAAGAACATGAACCAGACAAAACGTCAGCGGTGAGCTGCATCGCCCAGTTGCCGAATTGGTAGCGGTAGGTTTCACATGGCACTTGTGTGTACCACTCGGCCGTGTAGCATAAATACCGCCACAAGACTCGAACTTAGCATGCTGATTCGGACAAAACTGGCTGCACATATGCACACATGCCTACTAGACAACCGTAACTCGAAAACGTCTCACAATTTTCACCCCTTGCTCCTGTCGACCTATCTCATTGTCGTTTCTCTGCCGTTGGACTGTGTGTTCAAGAGCAGAATCTCGAGTGACTTTGCTCATCTCGCTCTCGGTATCCCCGGGGCCTGAAGCTGTGGACCGCGTGGTCGTCGCCGAACGAATACCCCCCCCCGTGGAAACACGCCACAAACGGACCCATGCCCTTGTCAAAGCTTCCCTTGTGCGCTCCCTCGTGACGCGAACAACCTGGGTGGAGGTTTCGAGGTGGGCATGCTTCAAGTTTTATCCCCAGAAATAGCAAAAATATTGCCAAAGGAAAACGCTGATTCTCTCTCGGTGTCGCCTGTCGCCTGTTCTGCACTTGGTGGGTTTAATTCCAGAAAGCGATGGCGACCTGATCTACAGCTCTTCGACTCTACACAATCCCGGTACGCACGACCCAGCAGAATAGTTTCTCTCTCTCGTTTGTCTCACCAATCGTCGTAGGATGTTCTGCCTAAGCGACCCCCCTCTAGGAGTCCCGCTTGCATTTTTTGAATCATTGAGGGATGCAGAGTATCCAACGGCGGCGCCGTGCGAAGGGGCGGAAGCGAGGGCCTGGAGTTGAAGTTTTTCCCTCTCGGCGTGTATGTTGGACACCTCAAGGTATGACAGGTGCCCGGCCAAGACTTGGTTTAACCGACGCATGTGATCGGAGGTCAGCCGCCGCTCGTGATCCAAGTCGTGTTGCTGCTGCCCTGTGAGAAAGTACTGCCAAGTGAAAGTGATCATGGGACAGGACCAACGCAAACGAATGAGTCAGGCTGCTGGCAGTGGAGCGAAGGGTGAAACTGAGCAAGTTATATTTCTACGACGGTGGTTGGAAATGTGCGAGCAGGTAGAACACCTCCTACAGCAGTTTTTACATTTTTACAGTACACGCTAACGAGTCACTCAGGTACGTACAGACACCAAGAGGCAGACTTGTCCAATTGCAACCAGCTCACCTCTCTGATCACCCCTATCGCTGGGAGTGGGCCGGAAGGTATGAGAGGTGGTGCGGGTAGCCCACCGGAAGACACTTCGCTGACAATAGAGGCAGATTCGCCAAGACCACTGCTTCGTACCGTCTCGCTGCCACTCACGCTCAGATCGTCTCCGTTTGTATGTATCCCACCCCCACGGCTGCCGTAGTCGCTCCCATTCCCACGGCTTTCAGTTTCTCCGCCAAATCTTTCGCCGCCCCTTGAAAATCCGCTAAACGATGCCGCATCCCCGATCCCCGTCGACATCCGCCGGCTCGATCCCGATACCCTTGGAACACCACGGTACTCTCGTGGCGAGCGGGTTGTTGCTCCTCCTCGTTGCGATGAATAATGCGCAGGGCTTGGTTGAGAAGCTTCCCACTCAGTTTCCTCTCCACCAGCGCTTTGATCACGGAACAGCGGCCAGCTACTGTTGAGACGGTCCTGGTGCGATGGCCTCCGCTCTTGAGAAGGGTGCCCGTCTGTCGCGGCGTTCCTCGGGCGTTGGCGAATTGTGTCTCTGCCTCCTGTAACCTCCAACGGTGGAGCAACACCAACGACGACGTTGTCACCATACCGGATGAATTCCTTATCTGCCGTCTGGTCCTCACCTTCGCACGGCAGCAGGTCTGAGCTTCTCCGCGACTCGCTCAAAGGCGTGAGCCTTCCCGCATCGCGCATCGACGACGATGACCGTTGCTGCCGGCTACTCCGGTCGAGAAAGCCGCCACCTCCACTTGATGCGTCTGTCGCTGGTGGAGACAAATCGACGCTGTCTAGCGCCGCACTGCTAGAATACTGGCTACTGGCGTGTTCCGGTGGCCCCTGGGTCGAGAAGGACAGCATGCTGCCGAACGCTGACCCTTGCTCGCGTGCACTGCTGCCATGTTCGGGCGAGGACAGGGAATCAGCCGATACATCTGAATCCATCTCCTACGTTGCCGCACAGAGGGCTCTCTATCGTTCAACCTTCTTGGCGATCCTGTATGTGATCCTGAGTATCGATGTCCCTACTCTCAGACACGAGCATGCACCGCGTGCATCGTCACGCGCGACCGAGGCACTCGTTGTACTGCCTGTAGCCGATCTTTGAGGTCCGGGCGATGAGGGCGTCGATCGCTATTCCAGGGCCTGGTTTTGGCCTAACCTCAGCCGCGCTGTTTATTAGGTGCCATTGCGTAGGCTGTAAACAGGAGTGTGTAGGGTGTAGATGTTCGGTTGGGAAAGTTGAGGGCCACCGGTGGCTGGCTGGTGGCAGTGGCTGGTAAGTAAGACGCCCCAGGGGTAAAGATCGCTGGGGGTTGCGTAGAATCGACCAGTGGGTCGGTCAGGGGGGGCAAGGTACCAAAACAAATGTGGTTGTGTGCCCCCCGTAACATGCACTTGCGAGGCTTTGTTTGTTTACCCACCGTAGCTGTCTACCCTGCGGCCCTGCGCTCTTTCTCTCTTTCTCTGACCATGTGGCGATCAACATGGCAACCGTGCGTTCGATTGATGGCAGCTCGAGGTTCGTTAAAACTACGTTGCAATGTTGTTGCAGTTCGAGAAGCGAGTGCCTCCGCGTCGGAGTTTAGTTCAATTCCAAGTTGACGTTGGTCACGCCGCACACGCCGCACACGCGCCGCAGGTCCCTCCAGCAGGCTTGGCTCCCCTACAAGACCAGCTAGGCTTCTGTCGGGACAGGCTGACTCTCTTACGGGAACACCCACTGCTTGCAAAGCGCCCAGGATTGGTGTACGGGTGAGAGCGCCCAGCGCCTGAAGTGATCCACAGCTGCTAGACGCATGCAATACCGCGGAGATTGTTGTCAGTACACCTTTGCAGTGGACGTAATGAGTGTCACACAGATCTTTGGTTCACGCTTCGCCATCGTGTGCTTAGCTTGCAAAAACTATGCATATGTGTAGCTGTTCTGATAGCGAAGTCTATGTGTCCCCTTTGTATACGCATATTTTGTCCCAGCAGTCAGTGTTGATCGAACCTACAACACTCCGTGAGGTACGCATACATGTTTGCGGACCATCTCTACTACTGTACAGTACTTTACGGACCATTGCTATGCGCATATCTCTCTCCCTCAGGGTCGACATCTCTCGGCTGTACCAGACCAACACACCACCACACGTCCAACACACTTGGCCCATTGACTGATCAATACGCCCCACTCCAACGTACCTTTGTATTGCCAGTGAATTAGACGTGCCTGTCGCGACCAGGAGAATACTGCGTGTTGATCAACTCGCACTCGTCGTCGCCAGGATGCCCTTTGTATTTGGATCTACGTGTTTAAGGTCATACGTGACTATAGGAACCTCTTGTTCGCCGCCATCTGTCACCCACGGGTGATCCTTCTATACAATTTTCCTTCCACCCTTTTCACCAGGAGGCGAGCGACACCCTGGATCTGATCGACCAGCTGCTGTGGGCCTTGGGCCCGGCAGATTCGGGAGAGGCTGGCTTCGTGTTCTTCGACTTGGACGAGACCCTCATCACGCGAGACACCTGCCTCGTCGACGGTCTCGGTAGCACAAGGTTAGCGACCGATAGTCAACGACGCCGGGCACCTGTGTGGCAGCTGCTGCTGCCAATGCCAAGGGCCCTTGCTGCGTCGAGTGAGACTTGCACGTCCCTGGCGCCCCTTTCCACCGTGGTTCAACTCAGCTGTTGTTGCTGCAATCACCCACGTGTTTTCCCGAGGTTCTTCGCCCCCCTTTTGACCCTTGGCGGCAGCGGATAAGCAGCAACATTCTTCGTGAAACCTGTCTTTTACCTCTGGTTGCGCCGTACCATGCGTCTCTTGGTGCCTTTTCTTTCGATGCGCGTGATTTTTAGCGCGTTGATGGCGAGGCTGGAGGCAAAGCTGGGGCCCTCAAGCGAAACCCTTCGCGTCATCCGCCAGGAGATGGAAAGGGACTACTACAACGCAGATCCAAAGCTCGTTGATCCGCTGTTGGCGAGGTGCGAGCACCCGCCATGCCTTTCACACGCATTGGACACGTGGTGTCAAAGAAAAGCCTGAGAGGGGCCAGGCGACATCGTCGGAGATCTCTGCAACGCAAAATCGCACACAGCAGCAGTAGTACAATATGGTGTTGCAAGGCCATGGCGAGTTCAACAGTTCTGCACGCCCCCCACGCCCATGCGCTGAGAGAGCCCTCTCCGACAGGTGTTATGACTGTGTCAGGAATAAGAACGTCTAACCGATGGTTCTGTTAATTATTCACGAGCGTCGGCAACACCGAACTAGCACACCTCGCCCCCGGCCCCCCGACACGCTTCCAGAGTTATTCGGGCGCTCAAGATTCAAGGGCATAGCGTGTTTGGCTTGACTTCCAACGCGTTGGACCCTGTTCACGCACCGCGGATCCTTGAGACTCTGGCCAAGTACAAGATCAGGTGGGGTCTGACGCCTACACCTTCATGGATTAAGTTGGCGCTTTTCCTGTAAGCCAAGGCCACCACCACCGCCACCATCTGAAGCTTACGGGACGCACGCTAATCGTTTGTGAACATACGCCCTAGTGGTTACCGTCCGAAGAACATGCAAGCGGGTGCCGACAACGAAACCAAGGCAATTGAAAGGGGATGGCGCAGAACCTATCGATGACAGAGACTTTGCGTGAAATGAAATTCAGTACATTCGATGATGCCTTGTACATCCGTGGGTGTCGTTAAAAGCCCTCCGTTCCAGCGACCTACGTATGCGTTCAGCATGCCACCTATTCCCGATGCACTCTCTTCGAATATCCACCCGCTATTGAATAGCCCTGACCACGTCAGTGTAAACCATGTGCTTGTCGTCCTGTCGGGTGCGTGCCCCTTGCTCGTCCGCAACGTCGACGAACAGGTTCTCTGCGCCGGACGTCAGAGGCGAATTGCCGAGAAGCGGGGCTCTAATGGTCGATCATCCCGTGTCTCGAGGGATAATCTTCGGGGATAATCAGCAGGTTCGCCGCAGTTGGCGCTTCGCGCTCTCCGCTTGACATTGGAATGTATTTACCTCTTCACTGTTTGTTATAATCTCATGTATACCTGTCGCTCGCACTACTGCTGGTCGCCGCTGGCGTGCGCATTGTTGCCTTCTACGCCGAGGAGTCACACCCTGGTTTACATAGCAGCACAGGAGAATTCCTCTGCCGTGCATTCCTTCAGATTCTCTCGAGCGGGTTCAGCATCCCTCTTTGTCTGGTCGACGTCCCAACAGACGTTTGTATCCCCACGAGCAAGCGCTTAAGAAACAGTGCCACGCCACCGCGATTCGAACCCACGACCTTGACCATCTGTAGGATACCATTTTTGGTCCATTTGTTCTGTTTTCTAGATCTGGCTCTGTCGCCTGCAAGCTACATTCAGCTGGCCCGATGTTGTTTCCGCCGCTCGTTGCTTCTGTCGCCAAGAACGTTTTTTTTTGCTCTTTTGTTCTCAGGCGGTCTCGCACGACAAAGGAGAAATCATAGCCGAGTACGTCGGGCTCCTCCTCCACAACGCCCGCCGCGCGGTCTCAGAGCACGTGGGGGCGAAAACAGCTGGAGACGCGGCTAGAGGAGGGCTGTCGGAACCGGGAGGCGTGAAGGTCGGCGACGGCGAGAGCAGCGGCGGCAGGACAGCCCTCGCCGGCTCGCTCTCCCCCAAGCGGCCTAGAAAATGCGTCCTGGTCGACAACACATCCAAGAAGTGCGAGAGGGCGGCGGAGACGTTCGCGCGGCACGCGGCAGCGGCCGGAGGCGGGCTGGAGCTACACACGCTCCACTTTACCGAGGCCGAGAACATGGTGGATTCGCCCGAAGCACTTAGACAGCTGCGGATAATCCTTGCGCGGCTGAAAGAGCGAGGGCTCATCGGCGTTGACCTTATCGCGGAGGACATCTTGGTGACGCCGGTAGGGGGTGTCCGTAGAGGCGCCGGTGACAAGGTGAAGGCAGCAGCGGCTACGGCATGTGTACCAGACGGAAACCGTGGCCGTGGCGGATGATTGCAGCGTGCACGAGAGAACACATGATCGTCTGCATGTCAGGCGTGATGTGCTAGGAGTTTGGTTATGGTTGCGGTGGACGTGTCCAAAACGCAATATTAAGTGCGATACGGTGCATTGGACAGGTGTCTTGCCCATCCATCTTCGTTTTCTTCACTATGTCGTGTTTCCGTGTTTCTTCTGTACGAGAACTGTTGTACGAGAACTGTTGACTAAGTAAGCAATGGATTGGATGGTTGGTACGCATGTGTTGGTATTGTGGTGTTGTTGATCTGGTGATTGCGGGAGCGCACAAAGTGGATGGAAGCCTGTAGTGTGAAGAGAACAGAACTAGCTGTTGCAATCTGGTGGCTCACCGTAAACGTAGAAAGGTGGTCATACAGCAGCACCACAGGACAGCAGTCTCCATGAACTGCGTTTTGGTGAAAGCTTTTTATTGTTTCTATCTCTTGTCGAGACTCTCTGCAGATAGCGTTCGCCGCTCCATCGGGGGGTATTCTTAAGGTTGCTTCCCGTCGTACGTCGTAGGAAGCACCACCTCCGACACAACCCTGGCAGGTTACGTGTGGCTTGTCCCATACATTTGTGTGCGTGAATCACCCCGCCCGAAGATTCGGATTGAACCGCGGGACGAAACTACGTGTCGGCGATACGCCAGGAGCATGGGCTTCTTGTAGTAGAGCATCTCGGCACGTTCGTGATGTCAGCCTGTTGGTGCATGTGGTGTGATGTGTTTTTTGCGTGGCGTACAAGTCCCTCACGCCTGTATAGCAGTGTACGATACGTTGGTGTGGAGAGGTTTGTTTGTCTTCCTGTGCCGTGTGAGTGTATGCCTCTTCATTTTTTTTTTTGCGTTTTGGGTTTGAATCCCTCGCGGTCTGTAATATAGCACCTTTCACAACAAATTCTGGGGTTTTGTAACATGTGCGGGGGTGTTCTGCGCCGTCGAGACGCATATGCAGCCCACGAGAATCGGTGGGTGGCGGGGTAGCAGCAGCCCGCAGCTCCAGGTGATGTGTACATACCAGCACTCCAGTCATGTGCGCATCACCAGTGATGCGAGCAGACGGCTTGATACGGGACTTGATGTCGAGCACAACGCTGCATCGACAATCGCAGACCGTCTGGGACTGCCTGAGGGAAAGGTTGTCCCTACTTTTTTTCTTATTTTTTTGTTTGCAGAAAAACGAAGAACGGCCAACGAAGGCCCAACGTACCAGTCATGAGCTTGAGCTTCTCTCGTTCGCTTTCCTTTCCTCGCCGATGGCGCACAGCTTTGGTCGTTCTCCCTCGCATACATCGCGTAATGCCGACCTACCTTATGCCCGTACCCCGCAGTGGTCACCCCAGGCAGAGACTTCACGAATTCCATGTATTGTGTGTTTTCACTACAGCAGTAACACCTATCGGGTCACACCTTACTCCCTCGACACACCAGAACTAGTCTCACTGGACGTGCGCCATGATTTTTAACGTTTGCAACAACATGACGTGCGACTTTCACGTATACCACTGCGTGTGCTTCAGGGGGTGGTGTGTGATGACCACACCCGCCTGCTTCTCCAGGCGCTCTCTGTGCCTGCAGACGTTTATATACGCAAGGGGCACGGGACCGGGCGGCGGGGAGGGGGGGGGGGGGGGGGGGCCCAAAAAAAAGGGATTTTTTTTTAAGTGTCCCCACAATATAAAAAAATGTCCATGGGGAACGTTCCC